AGACATGCCTTCGTAACTTACAAGGTTTATCCCTTGTGATCTGTTATCTCTAACTCATACGTAGATAACTATAAAAAGTATAGAGCCCTATTCATTGCACTCAATTGTTTTTGGGCACTTAGTCCGCATCATAACCATTGTTCAAATTTTAATTTAACCAATTATACCCTTTGTATGCAAATTCTGATTTAAAAAGTATATGCAAATGTAAACAAGCCAAAATAATAAGTATCCACTATGACGATGTACCTAATCTGAACCGCAGTGAGCCATAAATGTTGTGATTTATTTTCCTTATTAATTGTTTCTTCGAAAGAATAAAGCGTGAATATTCAAGTATGAACATCTACTACAATGTTTGTGTATCTAATAAATGTATAATTGTATCATTCATATCTTACTCTACGCGTAGAGGCTCCAACAATCTGGAGAAGCTTATCGTTGTTGGTCAGGTTAACGTGGTCGCTCACCTACTTGGTTGTTAAGTGCTGTAAAAAATCTTACCGGCCTGACAGTTCTACAAGCCATGAAGACCGCAGAGGACAGGGGCGTTTGGTGGAGGGTTGTGCATCAAGTGACGTGTGCACCAGATTAGACACAACCTTCAGTAATGAAGAGAACGACTAAAAAGAAGATCTTACTCTAGATATTTACAATTTCTAGGAGCCATGTTTCATTAGGCAGCCGTGGTCATCAGACCTAAAGAGTGATTTCATCATCAACAGCCTATATGCCCAATACTGTTAAGCAAAGCCTCTTTTCACACGGAGATTTGAGCATTAATCACCGCGCTTGCTCAATGCGGGTTGGCGATTACGAACTTATAATTAGAAATTATAAGCGTAGGTTATCCTCACAATCTTTTCCTTCACCGTTTGTCAGTGGTGTCAAGATAATCTTAGAAAGTACTTACATAACTCGGAATAAGTCACATCGGTACTTGCTGTTGGTAGTTTTCGAACCCGCACCCACATGCATGAGAGGTAGGTCTTAAACCTCCGAGCCACCGCGACTAAACAGTGATTTAATATGACAATAATATTACCGTACAACATCATGAAATCCAGATATACACCTTTCCTGACTTTGTATTACCTCGAATACTAATAGCGACCATGTCATTGAACAAAGTTATGTATTACCTGTAGGAGAATTAAATAACCTGTATTGTATTGTATTTTAAAGGCTTGAGGAAGGATATTATCAGTTTATATTGTTGTGTTGTTTCTAATCTAAACTTTTAACATAGTTGTTATAAAACATACCTATCTGATTTTGACAACTACATCCAAGGTATGACAACATGTTTTTGACTTCAAAACTCAATTGTACTATATGAGTTTTCAAGATCAAGGTCTGCTTTACATGTTTTTTATTTACCACGCATCTTTTTAGTGATAGGTATAACACGAAGTTTTTAAATATAAATTTGGTAATTGAAATATATTGTATCGTATGTCAGTTATAATTTTTGCACTGCTCAGGTGGCGCCTCTATCGTTTATTCTATTCATAATCACGTAATAACTATTATTTATGTAGGAATTATTATAGCATAAGATACATAATCATGAAAACAAGCCTGAATAGTAACACTGCGCTAAATAATAATTACCCAGTGCCGTTAGGAACCTAATTGTACCCAAACCAGACATTTCATTCTAATTTTTACATCGACGTGTCTATTCTGACAGCCCAATTTAATTTTCACAAACTATAATTAGACTTTAATAAATTACGAGTCTATTTTACTAGTTCAACAAGGGAGTACCACTACCCAATTGGATTTAAAACCCTTTTTGCCTCTCGCCAAAGCCGGGGGCTATTAAATAAAGACTTCTATGTGCTAATTAACAGCTAAAGCTAGAGTTGTTCGTACTGAATTGTCGAAAAAGTTTCGCACTGTTCATGGCAGCCTTTATTTACTGGGAAATGCTGACAAAGCATAAATTAACTTTTGTGCTGTTAATAAGACCATAATGGGGTCTTAAACGGTGAAGGTGGTGTTGTATTCAGCGGTTTCAACTTATAATGGATTTGGGAATACTTCATCATCAACTGCCTATAAGTGCTCACTGCTGAGCAAAGCCTCTTTACTTACGAAGAAGGTTTGAGCATTTATCACCACGATTGCTCATTGCGGGTTGGCGATTTCAAACTTATAATTGGAATTTAAAGTACATATAACTTGGAAAGATTCACATTAGTACTTGCCGTTGGTAGGTTTCGAACCCGCATTATACATGAGAAGCGAGCGTCTTAACCTGCGGGTCACCGCGGTTCATAGTGTGAATACTTATTTATCTTGTTTTAACATGTTGTATTTTTTTCTATTAAGGGACCTCTAGGCTTTCTTCAGGTGTCAAAAGAGTAAACAATATACAAGAAATAAAGTCCATTAACTAAAAACCAGTACTAACTAAATTCCATTTACCTTCTTACTTTGAACATCAATTCCAATTCAATACATTTTACGTCAGTAGTCCCTACAGTGTCATGAAAACGCCACCCCTAGATCAATAAAGCTCAATGTAAAAATTCAATAGGAGATGCACCACCCTGAACCTATTGAATGTGTCAGCTAAAAGAATATTTCACGCTTCTGAGTTTTCATTGCGATTTTTGCTAATGTTTTTACTGTAACAAACATTTTCTAATCATTCTGTTTGTTAATCAACATTTATATAGTGGAGCAATTTAGCTATACATAGTTCTATGCATATTTTGCCGAACCCAGGATCTTTTGGGCACCGTTTAGACGTGTTTCTATTATTGAAACCACATTATTGGCGTATTAATTAAGGTATAATTATTTCTCCTACCTTAACTCGTCGAGTACCGGTTTTGTAGACACAATTATAGAACAATAGGTTGCGGTCACCGGTGACCGCTTGGTGCTTGACAGTTTAATACCTAATAATCTCTTTTAATTAAAAAAATATAAAAAGCACGATTTCTACGTCTTCCTTCAAAGACAAATATTTAAAGAGACGCTGTGTTAAAAGGTCCAACTCCCCAATACAACTCCCGAATCAACTTTGACATCCAGGGCAATTCGTCTCAGACGGGACGTACAAGGGGACACCCAAATAATCGTTACGTCTACCCACTGTCAATGCCGATCCCCCTCAATCGTATAGGAAATTAATTCAGGTAATTGGAAAACACGCGCCGTCCCACTTCATTTTATATGGAGACCGTTGAGCAGATGCGGGGAAAAGGTCCGGTCTGCACAATATTGGTATAGGACCTCAAAACCACAAAGCTATGAAATAGGAAATACTAACCCTTTTGTTTTATCTACAAATTCTCTTACTTAATCATAAGTTTCCAATAGAAGGTGGGCCTGCCTCTAGGAGTTCAAGATACACGACAATGATAGAAATACAGATTTTGACAGAAAAGTTTGATTTGTGCAAGTTAAATAAAACTTGAAGTCCTAAGGTTTAGAATGTGGTGTCTAACGAAACGAAATATTTTCTTTTGTCATTTTACTCACATTGCGAATACCGTCATTATAAGGTACTTGTTTTGTAAAAATCTTTCATACAACGTCAGGTTCAAAACTTAGCGTCCCATAAATTATAATTTGTCACAAAAAATTCACCTTCTCTATCCCATATTTGTCTGAACGTCACCACCGCAAACACGTTTCGACTTATCGATTATGTACCACCTATCCAGTTGTAGCGTGATGTTTGACTTTGTAATTGTCGGGCTACTTTGTAGATTAAACATCTGCGTGATTCGATTTGTCTGCATCCGTAACGGGTAACTGCCCCTCTTTGTACCCCAAGACAAATTGGTGTTAGGCATGTAATATATTTCGTAATTTTGGGTAAAAATAAACTCAACCAACATTGCATATTTTTTTCTTTCGTCTTCTGAATGTTTAATCACAATATGATTATGACATGCCACTTGTGGCCTTCGAAGAAAACTTAGTGTAAAGATGTGAGATTGACTAAAAATCGCGAGTTACTCACGTGAATATACTGAGAAAAAGCTCTACTAGTTTCGAGCCACAAAGGGACTCTTCTTCACGAGCAGCGTGCGCGGTCGCGGCGTTGACAGTAGGCTGCGTGCGTCACCCGCGATTTTTAGTTAATTTAGTTTGTCTCAAGATAATTATTAAAAAAATAACAAGATGTGTGATGTTTATTATCACCTCACTAACTATTAATATAATATAAAAAGTAAACAGGAGTTTATACAACATAAGTAAAACTATCTACTTAAACGGTACGAAGATGAACTTCTTCAGCAATTTAAAGAGCGGATGGAAGCTAGATAAGTTCTGCAAAATTTCCATCCTTTGCCTTTGACAACGCTTTAAGTTTGTAATCTAACTTAGTCCAAGAATTACATGGAATGTCACTAAGCTCATGTAGTTTAAGCTATTTATAGGACGCCTTTATAAGAAAAGTTTTACCTCGTGTAGGAAGTAATGAGATTATGTTCTAAAGCTTTGAAGTGTAAGCCTCAGTAAATGAATTTATATCTGAATTATCTGTCCTATGTATACAGGCCTGTGGTAGGATTTTATCATATATTGCTGTTGTTTCTTTTTTTATGGGATAAACGAGTAGACGGATCACCTAATGATGAGCAATCGGCTTTGCCCATGGACACCAGGAACACCAGAAGCGTTATACAAGTGCATCAACGGCTTTTTTATTGAACATTCCTAAAGTGTTGAAGTACCGTCTGACTACATGTGACCTGCATGGGCTTAAACTCTAACGAAGTCTGTCCAATGACGTATTATAAAGGATCCAAGGACAGTCTCTGTTGTTGCCATTGCTAAAAACTTTTGAATAACCTTATTTGATAAAACATAGCTAATACTCCTAAAACTGACACTAGCGACATCTACACCTGACATAATGTAAATGATGTAATTATTTTTAATTTTTAAAGCAATATGAACTCTTTGTTATGACGTTTAACTAGTAAACATAAAAGAAAATTGTGTTAAATCAATTTTTATTTTTATTTCAGCACCTTGGTTCCATGGAAGATATTCAGGGAGGAATTGAACAACGTGCATCCCATATCATCTGGTTTGGAGACGATGGCGTTGAAGACCACCATCGATCTCACGTGTAACGACTTTATATCGAATTTTGAATTTGATGTTTTTACGAGGTACGTTGTTTAAATTATTTTTTTGTAGTAACTTTTAAACAAATGCGACTTTTTTGTATAGGTAAATCATATCCAATGACTTCTCCCGCCTTGAGTGAGGCAAGAGTGAATAGTTTGCTAATGGGTCGACGTGCTCCATCGTAGGCCACGTGATCGCTGACCACCAGGCGTGATAGTGGTCAAACGTCAGTACCATTTAATACATAAAAAAAGAGGGAGTGTCAGATTCCTACTGATTAAACCCATACCGTTCCTACTTCTGGTCTTCGAGCCGGAGCCCCGTTAAGTCTTCCGCAACCAAAACGACTTAAACTTAAATTCGTAAATGATAGTTAATATTTTTATAATATCAAAACTTAAATTGTTTTGCACAGACCTTATTTTGGTGTTATCTCAACTTACTTGGGTCCTATTATCTTAAAGAATATTGCATACTTTGGAATTATACCTTCTGACACCTTTAGCAACTACATGATATTTTAAAATGTAGCTTTATTTATAATTATGCTTTATTACAAAGAAAGGGAGACCTACCGAGCCATAAGAGCGGTTCGTGCGTCTGTAACTCATTCACGAGGCTCTCCACATATCGTGACTGGACTGTCACCAAAATTAAAACTAACTTGCTGACTCGTTCATGCAAAATTACCACCATTTATATTCCTTTGAATAACACTGTCAACGTCTGCCTTTGCAAAACGATGATGACCTAAGTTCAAATGACTCATACCTACCTGTAGTTCCATTGACCTCTTGAGTACCACAAATGTAAACAATTTTTATACGAAACTGTCAATAAAGAGTTTTTGATCACAGCTTTGCTCTTGACATCGAATTTGTCATCAATGGCTGTATTCGCGCCACCTGAGGCGCTAGTGTAGCTTTTGGTGTATTGTTCAACGAATGTTTGCTATAGTGCGATTTTGCAATTGATATTTGTTAGATAAAAAACTGATTGCTTAATAAATATCTTTCATCAATTAGAATTAGACCAACAACAAAGTCTCCGTGTACTCTCAAAAAAGTCATAACGTTCATATTAGCGATATTTTCACTGCACGTTAGCAAGCAATATATAGACACTGGGCACTGGGGCTATAATAAACAATAATATATTTAACAATAATATTGTTCTTGTTTAGGCTTCCATTCTCATACTCTGCCATTGAATTCCAGATTATTCCAACCGTGGAGTACGTTACTCCGAAACTGGCAACTGTTAGCGGTCACGCATCCAGGATATGTGGCGTTTTTAACGTACGACGAGGTCAAGGCGAGGCTCCAGAAGTATATACACAGGGCTGGCAGTTATGTATTTAGGTAAGATCCTGGTTTTATGTGAAACGTGTATAATGAAAGTAGATTTCTACTTTAAAATAATAATCCACGTTAATAATTAGTGGTCGACCTCAGTTTTGGACCCAAGCTAATGTAATATACCGATCACAATCTAAATATATTCGTAAAATATGAAACTCTGTTATGTTGGTGGATTACCAAATTATAGTCGGATTTATTTTACTTTAACACAACTGAGTATGACGGGTAGACAGCGACATTATTGACGAGTGTCCTACCTTATACAGTATAACTTGGTTAAGTGGGACCTGGATAAGTAAGAAACCTCCATAACTGGAACTCATGCTGAGGTCCCAACACTTTGGCACTGAATTACCTCCGTTAGTGAGACGAGGTAAACCTCTATATCTGGGATTTGTTCTTTCGATTTATCATCATAGTTACCTCTATAACTGAGACATCGAGTAAATTTTATATGCATAAACCTATGTAACTTAGATAACATTGTTTGTTTACTCATTCTTATTCTACCCGCAAATTACACACGTAATTCCAAGTCCACCTCTATTAATGGAACCCTCTGTAAATGAGACAGATATTTATTTATACCTGTATATCTGAGACACTGGGTAAGTGGAATAAATACCTCTATAAGTGAAACGACATTTCAGGTCCCTTGATATCTCACTTAACCAGGTTTCACTGTATAACACATTATAATGAGGGGCCACTACTTACTAAATAGTGATGTTAATACATACTAATACATATAACAAACTTCATTTTAAGTTATATTTCTTTGTATGACTGACTGCTAAGTCTGATTAAAGCCTTGGGTATAATTTCACACCAAAACAATGGCTTACGATTTCGAAATATCTTCAGTCATAAGCAGATATGACTTATGATTATTATATGACAATAGGTTGTATTACATGGGACTTATAACAAGGTAAAGGTAATTTTGCCCCTATAACAACACCGAAAAAAAAACGCACAACCTTATGCATAATTTGCGCAAATCAACATAATTAGGACTGTATGGTTGCTGGTTGTGAAATTTAAGTCCCCGGTGTTTTCGATGATTATTTATTTATTGGCAACTTCACTGTTACATAAATTTACTATAAACTAATCAAGGTAATTGCAACCTTAAGTAGAGGGATGAAAGGGACTGCGTGGCTATCGTCTTTTAGACCTCCCCTAGCTGGTTAATTCCAAAAAACCGCTAGGCTATCGAACTTAGGTTCAGAGAAGGCTGCTAGGCTACCGAACTCTGATCCTCTAGCTAGTAGAATTATTTGTTCGAAGACAACTCTGCTTATAAAAGCGGATGGTTTGCATGTGTGCTCAATCTTCATAATAGTTGTTTGTAGTTGTAGTTGTTTTGGATATATTATACTAGATGGCGCTGGGTATTCGTTGCAGGACCACTTTAAAAATCCCAGGTGTGTCCACGAGTGTCCACCATTTATTAAGTTTTATTAATTAACGCCCGAATACTGAAAGGCTACTCAATTGTTGTACTTAATCGTGCCATCTCTGTCATTTTACAAAGAATTTGTAGTACAGAACTATACATAAGCGCGACTTAAAATTGGGTTTGAATATTTCAACGTAAGACTCCAGTACGACTGAGTAAGAGGTTCCCGATTCAATTGTTTTATATGTTATATATCGGAAACTCATTGGGGAAGGCCTATCTTAACCAGTGGACGTCTTGTGGCTGGTATGATGATGATTGGATCGGAACTAATTCTTGAGGTTTTTTAAATTTTCAAAAAACCTCTCATTAGCAGCACGGCGTGGCATCTAGAATCTTGCATGATGTATATATAGCATCAAGCATACCCTCTATTACACGGGACTAGTACAAAACGTGTTCTATATTATCTTGGGAGTAGCATGACGTATTTTTAAATTATATCTTAACAATTTCCATCTCAATCTAACCAGGTTATCATGTACGCGGCTCGGCCAATGGGCGATAGGCTACGTGACGGTGGACGGAGAGATCCTTCAGACGATACCACAGAACAAGAGCTTAGTGCAAGCTTTATTAGATGGATATAGAGAGGGATTGTAAGTATTGCAATATTTCTATACTTTCCTAGTGTTTTGATCAGGCGTCAAACAAGCGGATCACCTGATGGTAAGCAGTTGTCATCCATAAAAGTTGTTAGGTCGACTGGGCCTTTAATAGCCTTACTTGAATGCATCACAAAAATATTTTTAATGGACAGTAACATAGGATGACTTAAAATGTACCTATGTGTAGCAAAACCGCAGCTGAAATCGCAACTAGGCAGGTGCTATGCAGTATTTCTAGTCCGCTAAATTCGAGAGAAGATTTAACGAAGCTTTTTCCTAATATGTCCATTGGATATAACCTTGTCTCTCACGTTCTGTGTAGATATAGTTATACAGATTCCAAGGGAGCTTGCCTTTCGACTAATAAAACGATTCAAATTTCCTTTCAGTTACCTTTACCCGGACGGTCGGGACGTGAACCCGGACCTCAGCAGTGCAATCATATCACCAGCCGAAGATCATATCACTGTAACACAGGAACAGTACGAGTTGTATTGTGAAATGGGTCAGTATTACAACCAATGGAAAGACACCACCCCTACCAACTAGATATAGTAAGAGTCTCCTAACGGCCAGTTTCAATAACCTATCTATTTGTAGATTTGCGTTACTAGATATAGAATTTTGACACATTTTGTATGGAGCTTATGTCAAAATTCTATCTCTAGTAAGCAAATCTACAGATATATAGGTTATTGAAACTGGCCATAAGAGACTTCCCACTAAACAGGGACTGCACAGCAGCACTATAATAAACTTGAACTGATTAGACTTGCAATGTTGAACTCGTTTACCCAGCGTGGCGATTATGCCAAATCTTTCTCATGAAGAGATCTTTTTTAATTTCCAAAATTTATCTTAAGCTGGTAGCTATAGTAAAATCCATCAAAAATGAGACAATTGACTGCACGGTACCGGCTGCCTCATGCCTTTCTTTTCTCTTCACGGAGCTCTTTGTGTGATCCACAAATTGTTGTTCCGAGTCTGGGTGTCGTGTGTATGTGAACTTGTATGTTTGTAAACGCACCCACGACACAGGACAAAATACTAATGTGGCGCAACGGCTTTAACAATTGTAAAGTAATTCTTAAGTAGTAGACACACATCTCTACATACATATTTATTAACGAAAATCATATATTTTTCACAATTACAGGTAGCACGTTCCAATTATGTAAAATTTGCGCGGAAAACGACAAGGACATCAGGATAGAACCATGTGGGCATCTACTATGTACACCCTGCTTAACTGCGTGGCAAATTGTGAGTTAAAATAAATTATTATTTAAAAAAAAAGATATTTTTGTGACCCCCCAATAAACAACTTTTTTCAATAACTTATATTTACTAAAATTTTATATGGACTTTCTAAGATGAATTAGACACCAGTGTTATGGTGAAGGAAAACATCGTTAGAAAACGGACGTATAGTTGGCAAATTATAAGATTGAAATCGTCAATCCGCCTTGAGCGAGTGTGCTAATTAAAATTCGCATCTTCTCCGTGGGAGAAGAAGCCTTTGAGCGTCAGTAGGCACTTATAGGCTGATGATGATATCTATGCTTTATGTTATTCCAGGATTCGGAAGGTCAAGGTTGTCCATTCTGTCGAGCAGAGATCAAAGGGACTGAGCAGGTCGTAGTGGACGCGTTCGTACCACCACGCCCGCCGAACACAACGTCAGATAAGTAAGTAAAATACTACATTTATAGTGTCATAGAGATAATGTGATGAGATTTATATTATTACTTACGTGAGACATACTACATTTATTATTATGTTTTTCGGCTTACTCATGTAATTCAACCCATGCTATAGGTTCATATTCATAAGCAGCATTCCACGACGCGGCGATTGTCGCGCTGCTACGAGTACGCGTTCGGCGCTCTGATTGGCCGGCTCCAATGAACCAATCAATCAGAGCGCCGGACGCCGTCTCATTTCGATTACTTTAAACGAAAAAGAAACTCGTACCTACTAAGGCCTCTGAATTTAGTCGTGTTCCTCGTTAAATTAAGCCGAAATACCTAACAATTAAGATTTAAAATTGAATATCATGAAAATCTATATAAAGTTATTTGCGCAATGTTAGCGCAGGTTTGCGCAAAACGTAGGTACTCAGTGTCATCTAAGGAGATAAAGCTAAATGTTAAGTAATAGTAATATTGGAAATTAAAATATTTTAGATCAAGTAAAGTCATTTGCGCAAGTACTAGCCGGTAGTAAGTATAATAGATAAATAATAAATACCGCTTTATTGTGTCTTGTAATTATAAACTGCCTCGTTGGCCGAGTGGTCGTAAGTGCGACTGCTGGGCAAGGGGTCTCGGGTTCGATTCCCGGGTCGGGCAAAGTATTACTGGGTTTTTTAAAAATCTCAGTAGTATCACGGAGTCTGGAAATGTGCCCGGTATATGGCAATAGGCTCACCCCCTATTACATGGGACTTATAACATAAATAGTGAAAAGTGGCATTAAGTGCCGAAATGTGCACCTCTGCCTACCCCTTCGGGGATAAAAAGGCGTGACGTTATGTTATGTGTAATTATAAATAACTAATAAGTACCTGTTCGTTACAGAAACACAAAGACTGCAGTAAAACCGGTGTCTTCAAATTCATCCGGTTCGTCCGGATCGTCCGGTTGCAATGGTTCCAGTAAGTTATTCCTCGTTTATCAACTTTAATCACTTGCGTCCGACTACTGAAAGGCTACTTAAATTTAAATTGTACTTAATATGCCATCTCTGTCATTTTACATAGAATTTGTAGATACAGAACTATACTTGATATGTCCACCTGTGGCTAATAGCCTTAAAAATGATATTTGTCTAACGAAAAATATTATTAAGATTTTTCCAATGGAAACATTAATAGAGGTCTTAAGCCCTTATGGAGGTGAATATGACGATTGAGGATGAGGAGAGGGGAGCATTGAGCCTCCGGTAACCTCACTCATGCGGCAAAACACCACAAGCGGTGTTTCATGCCAATTTTCTGTGAAGCCATGACACTCCGGTCCTGGCCAATTCTTGCCGTTGTATTGACAGTCCCAAATAGAAATTGTGATAGAGAAATAATAAATGACAGCCTCGTTGGCCGAGTGGTTGCAAGTGCGACTGTCGGGCAAGGGGTCTCGGGTTCGATTCCCGGGTCGGGCAAAGTATTACTGGGTTTTTATAAAATTCACAGTAGTAGCACGGAGTCTTGAATTGTGCCCGGTATATGGCAATACGCTCACCTTCTATTACATGGGACTCATAACATAAATAGTGAAAAGTGGGTGTTACATTGTACAGTGGCATAATGTGCACCTCCGCCTACTCCTTCGGGGATAAAAGGCGTGATGTTATGTTGTTGCTAAATAATAAATAACTTGTTCCTTTCGTACTAGGTGTAGACGTGACAATATCAGGCAGTGCGAACGGCTGGGCGTCAAGAAACACAACATTCAACGGACTCACAGATGACATTGACGATGCCGAGGTAAATATTACAATAAATTATACCTTATCGCTCAAAACATAAGGTCTCATTTTATTTATTCAAAGTGGATAGCTATGGAAAAGTCCTTCATTCATTCATTATATTCAAAAGCAGTTCGAAGTCCACTAAAAAATAAAAATAGATAAATACATAAGCCAAATCGATAATACAGATTAAAATGCAGTATTTTTATCAAATATATTATCTGTGTACCTAAAAGTTGAATGAAAAACATTGCACTGTTTCCCATCGATCATATATTTGACATTATCGCACACGAGTGCCCACGTACTTAAGATATTTTACGTTCAGATAAAACTACATGAATGAAATGATCATATCAATTTTTTTTTATATTTTTTTTTCTCTGTATTGACTTGATTATAATCTTTTTGGAGTTTTTAGAACGGAAATCCGAAATAGTTTTTGATTGGATATCGCGATTGATAAGTTTTGACTGATCGTCGGTTATTGCGTTGTACATGTATTGCGTATTTAGTTTTTGTAGGGTTATCTGTCTAATTTATTGATCTTCATTCGAAAATACGTATAGTCGCTCTGGTTTAAAATTAGATCAAAAGTGGTATCATTAGAACATACCAAACAATCAATTGACTTTAACGGGTCGCGGGTTACTCACGTGAATATACTGAGAAAAGCTCTACTAGTATCGAACGCGCACGCTGCTCATGAGGAAGAACCCCTCTGTGGTTCGAAACTAGTAGAGCTTTTCTCAGTATATTTACGTGAATAACCCGCAATTTTTAGGTAATTTAGTATGTCTCACGATAGTTATTATAATCAATTGTCATTATTTTATTCTCTACTAAGCTGACATGACAAACTTCGTCCGGCTTAAAAATTTAATTTTTCTATCCTTTTAAACCTTCCCTGGACTTCCATGAATATTTCAAGACCAAAATTAGCATAATCGGTTCAGCAGTTCCCGAGTTTTAGCGATACTACCGAACGGGAATTCATTTTTATTTATATAACTTGATTTTATTTATTTTCTAACTTTATCCAGCGCATTTGCCCGCGTTACCCGAATGAATAATAATAATCATAGGTTATTTCATGGGTTTAGTAGTTTATGTGCGGAAAAGTAATAAACATTCATGTATTTCATACATTAGAATAAAATAGATTATTTATTTGCTACTAGCTTTTACCCGCGGCTTCGCTCGCGTCACAAAAGGATAAAAAGTAGCCTATGCGACTTATGCCAATACACATAGCGCCATCTATACCAATAATTCTGTTTTCCCTCGAGAATATAATTTTTTCCGGGATAATAAGTTCCAGACTTCTAACTTTACGTCTGCAAAATTTCAAAGCAATCGGTTTAGTAGTTACGGCATGAAAGCGGAACAAACAAACTCACTTTCCGATTTATAATATTAGTAAGGATGAATGTAGGTACAAATTATTAGGTGTTACAAAATTTTTAAGGTTCCTTGTACCCTAATTGGCATGCAAATATACATTTTAAAAGAATTTATTAAAATTTATTATCCAAGAACTCTTGTACTGAATAATAACACTTGTTCAAAAGTAATTCTGTAACATGCTTCTTGTTAGTGTTTGTTCCTTGATATTATTCGGTTAATTTCATAATATGAAGTATATCCAACCTTGTTGCTCCAATTTTATCCGGAATAGCTTAAACTTTACCTTTTAATATGTATAGTAAAATCACAGTGTTGTCTTATAGTGTTTAGCATGGTGTGCATTTTGTTTGACCTTGTGGCATGTATCGTCGTCCTAAGCTTGCATCTATGCGTTTTGTACCATTTATGTTATTTATAATATCATTTATTATGACAACAGTTGAATGGTTGACTGTCACTGTGCAATATTTAGCAATAAATATATCATGGCTTTGTCGAAGGAAAAACGCCGCCGCCAAGAAAAATCTAAAATTAAAAACGCAACTTCATTATTTTCGTTAAAGAAAGAAATGTTCATGAAATGATTGTCTTTTTAAGAAGCTGGCAACACAGTTGGTATTGTATGGCAAGGGTACGGACCAAGAGTCCGTGGAGAATTAATCTGTAACATTATTAAAAAAAAACACAGTTGGTAACTGGAGGACCAGTATTATGGGTGTGGGCGGGCTTACCATTGGGTGATACCTACGTCTACAAAAAAGTATTATTTTTGTTTTGGATAGTCTATTTATCAAAGAAGGTTTATAGGCTATAAAACATCACGTATCGATCAAAACGAGTCGAGCACTGGGTGACAGCAAGAATAGTTAATGATTAATATTAGTAAGGATATAATTTTTTAAGAGACAGGGCGGCAAACGAGCACTCTGATCACCTGATGGTAAGCAATCGACACTGCCTTTGAACTGTGGCAACACTTGAGGAGTTACGTGTAGTAAATGCGTTACTGGTCATTTGGGGGATACGGCTTCTTGGATTGGGGATAGAGGGGAGGGGGAGGAGGAGGTTTCATACAGAGATTTTTCTAAAAGTTATAGTGACAGTCAACCAAATCATGCATGCGACCACACAAGAACATAATCATTGTTTGTTTTACAGATACAACGACGGAAATCACCGCATGCTTAGCTTGTCCGGGTAGTTTATTTGCTTGTCTACGCGCCAAGGAAACATTACATTCCTCCTTGTTTGTCACTTTTTGTTTTATTGTATCTGTACTGTATTGTTGATTTTGTTTTTTTTTTGTTGTTCCAAAATGGGCGTGGTTTGGTCTTGAATGTATTCAGTTGCGTTGCTTTTTCGTTTGTTACGACTCGCCATTTATTCTAAAAGTATGCATAAAAAGTCATTTCTGAACTTATTTCTTAGAAATCGGTAAAATTTCTACTTCTAGCATGCCGTCATAGATACTTAAAAAATGTATTCAGTATCTTAAGCAAATAGCTTCACTTTAATTTTTTTGTTGACATTCAAAAGTGGCCTTTCTGGTCTAATTGAAATAAATGATTTTCACTTTGACTATATTAGTAATAGTGTCTTAAAAATACAATTCGTCCAAGCCCCGCCCATTTCGTAACGCTAGCTTTAGTGTTGTCTCGCATGATATTTTGTGAATGTTATTATATTGGGTGTAACATGTTCAATATTTGGTGGGTATCGCCTGTGATTATATTTTTCAAAATAAATATTTAAGACATTTTAACAAATAAATTACGATTTGTTATTACTTCTAAGCAGGTAGATAGAGCTGTCTTCATAATATTGGCTAAAGCGAATATCAAACTTATATCAATTCAGATAAAATTGAAGATTATTTGAACAAAACGGTTTATGCAGTTTGTTAAAATGCCTCTAATGTTATTTTGATGGAAGTAGGGTGGAATTGTGATAGCGAAATAAAAAATTATAATACAAATTACTACAATAATAATTAACCGAACTTGTTCATATAAAAGTAATATTTAAACATTGGAAATAAGGTCTAAAATAGGGTCTTTTTGACTATGTTTGTTGATCGACTATTTTGTTACTTGAGAGATACGAAAAAAATTCTCACAGGATTTTTTTATTTTTAAAAATTCCTATACAATATCTCATAGACAATGGAATGGAGTATTGTGTCCATATTTACATGGGACTCATAACTAATGAAAATATAGGTCACAACAGACTTGTTGTATACATAGATATTGTTATATATATTGTTACAAGAAGTGGACTCACTTCTATGGATTCTATCTATCAATATTTAGTCTTTTAAAATCAATAAATGTGCTATAGCCAACTATTCTTGACGTGTTTCTAAGTTTCCTATTTTTTGAACTAGGTTAAAATCCTAATAGTATCTTCGTCACACAGAATTGGCGAAGAAATCACAATTTTAGTATATTCGCTATCACAACTTCACTCCAATCATATTCCCTTAGCACAATTGTAGCATCATTTCTATAGAACTTGTGTTACAGCTTCAACACTGTTTTGTCCTGTGATAAAGTGACTTTTTGCGTTATTTTACTATCATTAGGTAATTTCTTTAACAGTATTCGTTTTATTTGAAGATAGAAGATTTTTGTGTAATTTTCACATAAAATTTAATACAATAAGGGTGCTTTTTGCACGCAGTCTCTAATGTAGAGGACGCCCATAGTGTAGCAGTGGATTGTCTGATGTTGAAGGGTGCTTTTTGACAGGATCTCATAGTGAGGTCTATATTAAAATCGTATTTTATGAATTGAAAGGGAATACTTACCGTTGTGACGTTCTAGTTTTCTGTGTCATAGTTATTTATGAAATTTTAATTAGAAAAGGAAAATAATTTCCTAATAACAAATCAATGAAATTACGCAAAAATGCACTTTGTTACTATCAATTTTAGTGTTATAATGACTCTATACTGGATAGCGTTATACGTTAAATAGTTACAAATTTTATTTTCATTTTAAACGTATAAAAGTCACTTACAATTGAATGCGATTTGTACTATCTTTCTTTATTATTATGCTTGTTACAAAAGTGGTATGATTTGGTTGCAAAATTTGATTTATTTATTTTTTTCAAACAAGACCTTGTTAGCTAGTCAAGCCATTGATGACAATATTGCTTACGCTAACCTTATTGTCCACGATGCGTTATTAAAAAAATGCATGCAACCTACAAATGAAGTTATGTGGATTTGTATGCGGAGTGAGCGACACAATGTTGCCGCTTTGTGGACTTTGTTATTGTTTCTAAACGAGACGCAAGCATTTGTCATGTGTAGGTCGCCTATTGTCATTTGTAAGTTGCATGCATTCGTCAAATGACGCGTCGTGGACGTGGCTTAGATCGAGTTGGTTTTACGTTTAGTGAGTTCGCAACGTGCACGCGTTCGACGCTCTGATTGGCCGATTCCAATGACCCAACCTAGCCCCCAGTAAGCCTAAGACCTATCGCCACATGTTAAGTGGAAACATTAAACGACGAAGTCAAAACTCTTTACTGCATAGTCATGTCACTTTTGTAACCAACAAAATGCAATACGTATTGCTATAAAATTAAGATTCATTTTTGTTTATCTTAAAGAAATTATTATCTACACTTTGCTCATGAATTTTCAAAAAACTTGCACTTAATGCAATAGTATTAAATTAAATATTATTTAATTGAACTATTTATATAGAATATACATAGATAAACCTGTGACTTTTCCAGTTTGTAAATATAATTAAAGATAGATTTTGAAAATTTTCAAGTTAGTATAATTTGTTTTGTTTTGGGAATCATTTCCAATTTTTATTTTAGGATTTAAAGACTGCTTTGTAGCGCAGAAGTTAAAGTATGTTCAGCTTGTATTTATCTAATGAATCTGAGTATTTTTTTCAAGTTCGGGTTCTGTACATATTTCTATTTAAATATAAAGCTTGATGGTTTTAGAATCACGCTTAGGGAACTCCAAGTAGTTGGTTTTCTCTGTCGTTGGTCGTATTAGCAAAATCAATTATTATGAAATATTTAATTTCGCAACATTTTCTTAAGTTTACGCTTAGCTCTTATTATATTGACTTAAGCAATAATTTAATTATTACTATTAATTATTCTTATGACGATTTAATGATTTTATTTATTTTTAAGTGTATTTTTTATGTTGAAAATATACGCTTGGTGATATGTGCTTTGTGTTTTTTTTCCGTCGTAGTGTTTTCTAGCATGTTAAATATGCATGCAAATATACGTATTTTAGCTTATAAAAGATAGTAATCTATAAACAATTGTTTGTTCGGTTCATTTAATAAAACTACTAGAGCATATTGTTAATGCATGGTTTTCAATTAGGTACTTTTTAAATTAGGCCTATAACTTTAGTAGGTCTATTTTGTCATAGCTATGTCTAGCACGAGATCATTAAACTAGAAACCTTCGTGAATTATTTAGTTTTAAATTAATAATTGGTCATCGCTTATGATAACTGGTATTCCAAAGACTGAATTTTAATTAAAAATGAATTTTTAAATGATTTTATTTTCACGGATTTAACATTGTTCATATAGTCATATTTGACTGCATGGTTGGTACAGTGGTTGGGCAAGCGGCTACTGCGCTAAGTGTCGCGGATTCGATTCCCCCACAGAACAACCCTTTGTATGATTCACGTACCCACAATGCAGGAGAAAATTGTAGTGTTGGGAAATATAAAATAAATGTCTAAAAGCCGATTTTGAGGCCCTTACTTCTTCTATACTTAACTACATCGGCTACGGGAAACAAAAACCAAAAAACATACCATTCTTCCAACAGGATTGGGCAGAATTCAACGCAGCCACCTCTACAATAGACGCTTTGAGGCCATCAGTGCGATCCCCGGGCGCTTCGCCCCGCCATAGCCCGAGGGCGCCGCGTAGGGCTCCGCAACCTAATGAAAATGCGTATGGGGAATTACGGGCGCCCCCATTACCGCCTAGGAAGAGCTTGTCTCCGGCAGAACCTGCTATCGTCGCTGCGTCTAGTGTCCAAGATATAGCAGCGGCCAGTAGCGCTCATAGTAAGTACCTACACTCCTTTTGAGTTCTTAAGTTGGCTGCGCGACGTTTCACGGCACGCTGCTGATCGATAAGAGACCCGGTGTGACTTGAAACTGGTAGAGCTTCTCGATTAATTCACGCGAGTAAGTTGGTGATTTTAATTGTGACTGCACGGTTGGTGCGGTGGCTGGGCAACCGGCTGCCGTGCAACGTGTCGCGGGTTCGATTCCCGCACGGAACAACACTTTGTGTGATCGTCAAATTGTTGTTCCGGGTCTGGGTGTCATTGTGTATGTGAACTTGTATGTTTGTAAACGCACCCACGACACAGGAGATTATCCTAGTGTGGGGCAAAGTTTAAAAAAAATAACTTACCCATATTCTTATATATATAGAATTAAATATTTATGGAAACCTCTTTTCGCTCCGTTCAAGCGATTTTTACTTTTATTACGTAGGTGGAATGACATAGCGGCGCAGTATATCGTTGGTTTTGCTTTTAATACCATCCTTATGCCTGCGGAATAGGTATTAAAATCGGTTGAACAGAGAATTGGGTACTTGCCAACTAGTCAAATTCAACACTTTTTTTCGAACTGTCAAAAACGACAGTTTTTTATAAATTTTGTACGAGAGTGTGTATTGTGACGTCACGTTTTTTTGCGTCAAACAGTATACCTTATTTTTTAAAAATTTGCTGGAAAGTACTGAAATTATGTTGGTTATAAAATCAATTACTGAAAGTGTTATAATTTTTCAATATTTGATTGTATTGAACAGTCAAAATATATTATTTTTGATTAAAGCTAGTACCTAATTAATAGCCTAAAAAATCTGGTTTACTATATGACTATGATATTGAAATTTTTAGTAGTAGTAAATGAAAATACCTCCAAAACTGAACTTCTTTCATAATATCATTCTCATCAATTTAAAATCTGAATTCTTCTCTTCAGCGGAGCCACGAAGACGATCCTCATTAGAACCGGAGCCTGACTCTCGACACCGGCTCACCTCCATCATCACAGGCTCCACGGAAACCATTACAGGGGTCATTGACACCAGACATGAGGTTAGTTTAATTTGAACCTTATTTTTACGTAGAGAATGACTACATTGAATTAAATTTGGAAATGATATGTTTCGATCTCATTCAAACCAAAAACTGAATTTTTAACGTAACATTTTTTAAGAAAAGATAATAAAAATCGATTATCGATTTCAGGTGCCACCTGACCCAAGGGCCTTTGAAAAACCCCGACGAGCCTGCACGCCACAGTCAAACAGTCGTCCCCTTCCCGCACCCCCGCCCGAACGGCCCGCAGAAACCCCCACTCCCACCGAACCAAAACCAGAGCGACATCTACCAGACAACAGATACAATAACGAAAGACAAGAACTCCCAAACAGACAGGAAAGACCACCAGATAACCGACATCCCCCAAATCCCCCCGAAAATAGGCACCCAATCCCCGAAAATAGACACCCAGTCCCCGAAAATAGGCACCCAGTCCCCGAAAATAGGCACCCAGTGCCCGAAAACAGGCACCCAGTCCCCGAAAATAGGCACCCAGTCCCTGAAAACAGGCCAAATGACAGACACGTGCCAGAACGTCACCAAGAAAATAGGCCAGAGAGGATGGAGAGGCAAGACCGCCATATCCCCACCCCAGAGAGGCAAGAAAGGCATTTACAAGACAACAGACATGAGATCCGAGTAATGGATAACAGACAAGAAAGGCACATTGCTCCAATCGATAAATCGGAGCGACATTTGCCTCTATCAGATTCCCGGCATACGGATTTCCGTTTGCCTCCAGAAAGACCACCGGAGAAACCTGATAGAATTATTGAATCTAGGAGTAGTTTCGATCGGGAGACTAGGCTTGAGAATAGGGCGCCGCCTAGGCAAAGGTCCTTGCCTGCAACGACAAGTGGGAGCGTCGACCAGCCTACGAAGTCCACCACAATGCCTAAGTTCCCCTCAGAAGATATAAAAGACCCACCGTATGAAAATGTGGCTGTGGATAAGAATGAATTGGCTGTAGCACGTAAGTAGATCATTATTTCTGCTTTTTTTCTGCCTACAAATGTGTAGTATTCCTAGTTTTGTTAAGCAAATTGGACGTTCGTCTTAATAAATAACCGCGGCAATTTTTTACCGCGTATAACTGAAATCTGCGGTTATGTCCTTCGACTAATTGTAATACAATGAAATTTTACACGTCGAAAAACTTAAATTTGTAATTATTATTGCATTGTGCAATATGGGTTCGTTTCAAACGTGATTTTATTATCTTTTCACGTCATTCGAATCGAGTTTGTTGTCTTATGGAAAACCTCTTTTCAATGACTTTACAAGTTTAAGCTTAGGTACTTTAAACTCACATCTAATAGAATAATTGTTTGGTTCCAGCTAAAAAAATCAACCCGCTCACGCACGACAAACACGGACGGAAATACGGCGACAATGTGTCGTATGAAAACATAAATTTAGATTATATCGCACGTTTGGTAGGTGAGGGGTACCCAAAAGACATCGTGGTACGCGCATTGGGCATCACACGTAATGATCTGGAAATGGCCTGCGATATACTACATGAGTTTGGATCTAAAGTACCTAATAAGTGTTAAAAGTAGATAGTTTGTTCTTTAAATTGGGCGTTTCGTAAAGTATGTTGAGGTTTATATCATGGTTGCTTGTAAATTTTTGTCTTTATCGTCATATTTATTCATATTCATAATTGCCACTAATGAGAGTTGAGGTCTTTTCTCTGTGTTGGAGAAATCGATAATGCGTTTTGCTTTATGATATTATCAATAATAGCACAGATCTTTTTTGAGTGGAAGAAATCATCCAATGACTTCTCCCGCCCGGGTGAGGCGAGAGGGAGTGTCACTCTTACTGACTAAAAACCACCCTGTTCCTACTCCTGCACTTCGAGCCGGAGCTCCGGCAACCCTTTAGGTTCTCCGCGACAGGGGCTTAGGTCTTCCAAATGAACCATTTTGGTTAAGTCAAGTCATCCACAGCTCATAGCTCATGGGTTTAATAGTAAACTGTAAAAATATTAGAATTTATTATATCTTGGATGTATACGACATATAAACCTCAGCATACTTCATAAAATATCCGCATAACAGGTTTAGTAATTCGTACCTTATGAACTAAATATAAGTCTGATTTTACCGTGTACATATTTCAGTGTCATCGTTTGTTTATCTTAGAAAAATAATTCTTATAACGCTATACATAGCCACTATTTCACTTTGAGCAATAGCTGAGATAATAATCCTATAGTGTATAACGCTTGATACGGGTCTATCGTAATAAAAGCAGAAGTTTTTAACAGGTTTAAGTCGATTTTGCGCTGACTAGATGGCGCTGGTGATGTTAAAAGTCATAGGCCAATTTAGCAGTCCCAAGTTTACTCACTAATGACTTGATATTGGTCATTTGACCGCTGCGCTAGCGCCGCTAGTGGCGCCACGAATACGATCTATAAGAAACGCATTGAAGAAAATATCATTGAATTATTATAATTCTAATAACAGTAAAATAAGTTAAATCATTTATTAGACTAATAAAAAAAATGTCACTACACTTGAATTTGTTAAATAAACCATCTTACTATTAAATTATAAGAAAAAAAAGTTCTATTAAAATATAAAGTAATTTTAATAGTTAATAATTTATTAGTACAGACCAGCATATCAAACTAGCCTTGAATGTCAAATTGCTTTAACGTATTTACGGCTTTATTACAGAAGATTATGGTTTGAAGTCTATTTGACAAGTGGTTGTAAGTTTATACGCTGGTCTATGTACTATTGTAACACCGTACGTGTTTGCTAATCATTATAGCATAACAGATGTCATTGTCCGGTCAATGTTGACGTTTTTGACATATACGTATCTGACGGGCTAATCAACCATTAGCTACTTTGATGAATTTTTAATGTTAATTATTAATATTTATATAAAACATTAGCCGGATAATGAACATTGAATTATTAGCTCGTAATATCAATAATTCGTTTTGTGCGTCAGCCATTTTACTTATGGACGCAAATGGCGGTCATTAGACAGCCAGCCTGTCACATTGACAGATGTCAACACGGGTAGTGTTCAATTATGTCATTAATCATCTACTAATCGAGCAAGCTGTCTTTGAAAAAATCTAAAATCGTGTGATAGTATTATAGATTAATAAATAAAATATATTTTTAAGGCACATTTAATGTATTTATTTCGCATCATTTTAGTGACAGTAAAACATTTTAATTCCAATTGTTTTTAATCAGTATTCATTTTAACTCAATATATTTTTCATTAATTAATAAAATAATTATAATAAATGCTTTGTAAATAGTCACTTGTATGAATAAATATTGCCTATATTTTCATATAAAATCGCTCTCATAATGTTTACTTAATAGTAGTTCATATGGAATATATTTTTTCATATTTACGTCATATGTGTGTGAGATAATACAAATTTTGACACTTCGACTTATGACACTTGCAATATTTAATGTCTAGACTACTACTTAATATTGTTGATGTAAATAATAATTAATATTTATATTTTTTTTCTGAAAAAAAAAACTCGTACATGTTGCATTGATCTTCCTTTTTGGTATAATATTAGAAAAAAAAATGATGTAACTAGTTTGATAAGTTTTTACTTAGAAAAAAAAAAACAAATTCTTTTTGAAATTCGAAGAGCTTACAACGGCACCAACGTTTCCTGATAATTATTGTTCTTCGTATTTTTCTATATGAAAACATTTTGTAAAAGTGCAATTTTTCTAATTCGTCTTTTCCTTTTTTATGTTGCTTATACAAAACTGTGGTGGAAGTACCGACAGTATTAACGATAAAAATCAATCGCTATGACAGTTCCAATAATAGATTTTCAAGCTTATTGTTTTGAAATAAATTTAGGATTTTATTAATGGTATTTTGACTTGCAAGAGATCGTTATAATTGTCGAGACTCCCAACTCTAAGTGAACTGCTTAATACTTTAATAATTACGCGTTTTTTTATATAAAATGTTCATATTCTTTCTTATTTGACCTCTTGACAGTTGACTTTCAACTGATCTTTACGCAATTTATAGTAAGACAGTGTGCTTAGTGAATGACTTGACTGAATTTTTAGGTTATAATCTATCTAGTCTTAATATTTCACTATTTTGCAAGTTTCATTTTAATACTTCGATTATTATAGTTAATTAAATGACGCTATACATTGTAATTGAAGCCAGTAATGTAACATCTGTAATGAATAGTTTGTAGTACCCAAGATGATAGGTACCATTTAATTATGAGTATACATATCCACCATTCTACTAGTCAAATTCACTTTTTATATAAAAATGTTCAGCGGTTTTAGCGTATACATTTTTATTTAAAAATGTGTGGTGTTAGTATTTTGTGATTATCGAGTTGTGTGTACATTTTATTATTTAAAATGATTTAATTTTTTATCTTAAATTAAATGTTTAAACTTGAATATTCTTAAACTTTTCATTATCATTTTTAAATTATGAAATGTACACCGATTTACTTTGTAATTCTCTTAAAACTTAAATTATCGAATACGCAAGCTGTAATAATCATTTCCTTTCATTTAAAAAGCGCGTATCGCTTATTATTTTATCTATACTACAAAATGATTAGTAAATATTTATATTTAGTCATAATTGTTTATAATCTCATGGATATCACAAAAAAATATAATTTGAGTAGAACAAAATTGTCATAAATGTAATATTAAACCTATGCCATTATTACCTAATAATAAAAATATTTTTGCGTCATAAATTGTCTCAAAATGTTCGAAAATCATCTGAATGTTGCCGTATTTTTATATAATTTCAAACTCTGATTTAATGAAATGAAAATGTTTAGACTTGTACTAAGTTTATGCAAGAAATTGTCTAAAAATTAGTAGAATTTCATATCATGGGACAATATTGCGGTTGCCATAGTGAATAAATTAAAAACCTTCATGTACAACACTTTTACCAGTGTTAATTGTTACTGGAAACTGTTATTATTGTGGAAACCTGATGTTAAGGAATAGAGACATTTGTAGGAAATTGACAATTTACAAATTATTTATAAAAAAAATCTTTGATAACTATTTTCTTCATTTACTATGACTGTTGAATTCAGTATCGTAATTCACTTTGTAAAGTATCGCTTGACTATTCTGACAGCTGTCAAAATTTACCACAGAGGCTCAAAAAATATAGAGTGTTAAGTAAAATGTCAAGCGATATTTTTCACAGATATAATAATGAAAAATTAAATGTTGTCTGCAATAGCTCGGTTTTATGTTTTTGACCGAAGTTGAATGATTATTTTGTTATTAGTTTGTTTTTTTCGCGTTTCACATTGATGTTATTTTTGGTGGATTGTATGAATTAAAATAGAAATGTAAAAACATAATACATAATATTGTTATTGTATAAAATTCCAGAAGGAATGGATTGATGATGAAAATTGTGAATATTTTTTTTAAACACGCCATCTATCGGATGAATTGTCAACGGAATGTTTTGGGGAGGCTACGTTTTGTTTTACGCTTTAGTAAAAATACGTTGCTAAATATATTTAAGTAAAATTACGTTTGTTGTTTTTATTCAATGATATGTCCGTATTTTATTCGTATTTTAAAATATTTCGATAAAATATAAAATATTTAAAATATATTATAAAAAAGTCGCAAGTGCGACTGCCGGGCAAGGGGTCTCGGGTTCGATTCCCGGGTCGGGCAAAGTATTACTGGGTTTTTAAAAAATTCTCAGTAGTAGCACGAAGTCTGGAATTGTGCACGGTATATGGCAATAGGCTCACCCCCTATTACATGGGACTCATAACATAAATAGTGAAAAGTGGGTGTTACATTGTACAGTGGTATAATGTGCACCTCTGCCTACCCCTTCGGGGATAAAAGGCGTGATATTATGTTATGTTTAAAATATTTTGACCTCGTTGGCCGCAAGTGCGACTGCCCGGCGAAATATTACTCATTTTTTTTTAATTATCAGCAGTAGCACGGAGTCAGAAATTGTCCCGGTATATGTCAATTAGCCAACCCCCTATTACATGGGACTCATAACATCTACAGTGAAAAGTGAGTGTTACATTGTACAGTGGCATTCATGTGGTGTCCCTTCGTCCAGCATACTCACCATGGAATCCTGATATTTCATGAATGTCAAAAAACTGTTCTGAAATAGTGCTAAATAGTGCCCAAAGGAAAAAAATAGTGCTCTTGTACTTGCGAAGTTATAGCCATAGTTCGATGAGTATGCTGGACGAAGGTTTCGCCCAGCATACTCACCTCCGTCCGGAGAATCTGTATACGCTTCAAACATAATTCATACTTCAAAAAATAGTTCCCAAATAGTGCCAAACGGTGCCCAAAAAGAAAAAACAGTGCTCGAATAACTTCGGAGTTATAGGCTTCGTTCAGTGAGTATGCTGGGCGTAGGTTCTACGCCCAGCATACTCACCTCAGTGCGCGAATATCGAACGAGCTATAGGTACAATTTACGTCTCAAAAAATTGTGCTTGAAATAGTGCCCAATATCAGTCCAATTTTTGCTTGACTTTTGACCTAGAAAACCATTAAATTTGATTGTAAACTTCTACATACATTACATTGAGTACAGTCGAATACAATATTATTAACTTTCTTTCTAACAATTTTTGTCTTGTGTAAATTATTAATTGTCTATGTAAGGGAGTATTTACTTTAGAATCGCAATATTATTAATTACACATTATTTTAATAATACTTTATAATAATATGATTAAGCCTTCGCGCGTCGCATGGGACCCCGGTAGCTAGGAACAATGATTTTATATATTTTGTCTAGATCACGGCGCTTGAAGGATTAAGATATCAAATGAAGTAAATCATGCATGAAAAATAAAGTTGCTGTTATTAATGCTTACATTACAACTGACAAAATTATTCAAAATAATCATTTTCCGGATCAAGGACGGTACCACAACGTTTACGGAATTGACCTGTATTCCTCATGTGATAAAGTTCAATATAGTGTGGCAGTAATGGATGCACGTACGGTCAATAGGTATGGGGCTTACGACGCGCGGCGCCCGCGACGCAAATGAATATGTTTATGTTTAAATACTAGATGGCGCTGCCCTAACATCTTACGATTATTAGACAAGACTGATCTGTATTTTGAAGGTGATAAGGGTCCATTTTGTGTCACAAAGCGACGCGCGGCGCCCGCGACGCTTTTATTTATTGGCTGCAAATGACTGTTTTTATTCAGACAAACACACAATGCAATGAAGTAATAGACTTCATTTACGCTTAAAGTTTCATTCATTTATTATTATTTATAAAATATATAATAATGCATTTAATCGAAAGTTTTTGACATGTGAGAAAATACCATAATTATTTCCAATAACATGAAGTCTACAATTAGAAAGTTTAATATTTTTGTCCAAAAACATGTGTCGACGACTGTACCCCATTTTACGTTAGTATGTAGAAGTTTACATTAAAATTTAATGGTTTTCTAAGTCAAAAGTCAAGCAAAAATTGGACTGATATTGGGCACTATTTCAAGCACAATTTTTTGAGACGTAAATTGTACCTATAGCTCGTTCGATATTCGCGCACTGAGGTGAGTATGCTGGGCGTAGAACCTACGCCCAGCATACTCACTGAACGAAGCCTATAACTCCGAAGTTATTCGAGCACTGTTTTTTCTTTTTGGGCACCGTTTGGCACTATTTGGGAACTATTTTTTGAAGTATGAATTATGTTTGAAGCGTATACAGATTCTCCGGACGGAGGTGAGTATGCTGGGCGAAACCTTCGTCCAGCATACTCATCGAACTATGGCTATAACTTCGCAAGTACAAGAGCACTATTTTTTTCCTTTGGGCACTATTTAGCACTATTTCAGAACAGTTTTTTGACATTCATGAAATATCAGGATTCCATGGTGAGTATGCTGGACGAAGGGACACTTCATGTGTCGTAATGTGTTCCTCTGCCTCCCCCTTCGGGAATAAAAGGCGTGATGTTATATTATGTTTCAATTATTTTCTACAAAAAGAACTGAAAATATTTAATGTTTTTAACCATTTAGCCTTTAGTTCACCGCAATACATAGATCCAAGAAAAAGTAGTAAAAAGTTCAAGAAAAAATGATATAATCACAGCCATGTATGTCAGGCATTGTACACGAGTCGTTTTATCAACAAAGTATCTAAGTGCATTGATTGAATAACAATTTTCTTCTATTTTTACGACTTCACCCATCACTTGATATTAAACGCCATAGCAAGTGTTTGACTCCAGTTAAACAGAATTAAAACTCAAAATGGTCTTATAAATAAACCAAAAATGCGTTATTTTCTGCTAGGCTTCTTAATTTTCAAGGTAAGCAGATACATGCCTTGTTATTTTGTTAAGGAATACTATTAATGGTCATCGTTTTAAAAATGGCTATAATATTTTAATTTACTCTTATATAATTGTAAAGCTTATTTGTTTGTTTGAACGTGCTCATCTCTGGAACTACTAGATCGATTTGAAAATTCTTTTTGTGTTGCATAGTTCATTTATTGAGGCTATAGACTATTAAAACACACACTACGTGAAACCGCACGAAAATAGTTAGTAAATTATAAATTAGAAAAGTGGATAAGTAGTAGGTGTCCAAAATGGTTCATTTGGAAGACCTAAGCCCCTGTCGCGGAGAACCTAAAGGGTTACCGGGGCTCCGGCTCGACGTGCAGGAGAAGGAACGCTGTGGTTTTTAGTCAGTAAGAGTTTGACACTCCCTCCCGCCTCACCCAGGCGGGAGAAGCCATTCGATGATTTTCTTACCCCTTAAAAAAGACCCTTTATAAGTAAGTCCATACTTAGGTACTATTCTTTTTAATGTATTTCTCTTGGTCACTTCTTGGATACGCTTGCTTCTTGCATCGACCATTGTTTTCGTCTGCATCATCCAAAGGTCTGGCTAGAGGAGAATGCTCATGGTATTAAACCCACCTTGTACATTAGTGTGCGCATGATGCCTTTTAAAATAAAATAAAATAAGTGTTAATAGTAGTCACCGGAGAGGGCAAAATTCTTCCACCCTCCGTAGTTGTTCTCGTCAAAAGCTGGTTGCCATTTGAAGATTTCCCCGTCACAGAAAAGACATTTAGTCAGTTAGTTTCTCGTCTTAAGACATAAACGAGCGTAGCATCAGGGAAACAAACTCAATATCAGTGCAATAAGTGACAGTTTCGATTAAAAACTTAATAGCACTTAGCTCAACTCGTGACACACCATTTGCGAAATATAGACCGAAATATTAAATCAATTTGAGTTTAATTTAATTGCATTTTTTTCAGTTACAAACAACAGTGGCTCAATATCCATCTCACACAGATTTACAAAAAGTCGGTGAGGTTATATTTAACAATGAAAAATTTAACGTTTTGAAACCAACCGTACACGTGATCACAGATTATTTCAAGGACTTCATGTTAAGACGAGAAAACGACAAGTTTCCAACAAAAAGGGTATTCATAGACCACAATGGATTCAGACACGCTTGGTCAGGTTTTGGCAACAAAGTCCAAAGTTTACGAAAGACAGACTTGAAAAATGTTGTTTTAAATTCCCAAAATTTCACGGATAATTTAAGTACTAAGAAAGCACCAATTAATGATAATACTACCGTAGTAGCTAAAACTACTACCGAAGTAGCTAAAACTACTACCGAAGTAGCTAAAACTACTACCAAAGTAGCTAAAACTACTACCGAAGCAGCTAAAACTACTACCGAAGTAGCTAAAACTACTACCAAAATAGCTGGATCTACTACCGAAGTAGCTAAAACTACTACCGAAGTAGCTAAAACTACTACCAAAATAGCTGAATCTACTACCGAAGTAGCTAAAACTACTACCAAAATAGCTGAATCTACTACCGAAGTAGCTGAAACTACTACCGCAGTAACTAAAACTACTACCGAAGTAGCTGAAACTACTACCGAAGTGGCAAGTACTAAGATACCTGTGGCTACTACTGAAGCGGTTAAAGCGAATACTGAATCGACTGACAACACAACTGACGCTGATACGCCAACAACTGAAGTAATTGAATCTGCAGTTATAAATAGTGACAATATAACTAGTAAAGAAACCCTCAAGGAGGTACATGACGAAGACAATACCACAGAAAGTGCTACTCAAGTACCGAATAGTGCAGAAACTACAACATTTAAGTTTTTATTCAAAGCGTCGATAGAAAATAACAATAACACCACAGTGACCAAAAATCAGTCAGTACAAGTTAAGCCTCTCAAAGGTGAAATTAAAGAAAGGACCGTAGCTAAGACAACTTTCTTTTGTCCTTTCTTGGGCATTATATCTATGTCTGCATTTATCGACTGAGAAAATCATTGATTAATGATCTTGAGAATTATTTTTATAATAAAGATTTTAGTAGTATACATAATATTAACACTTATGAATGTAAGTATATCTTAAGTATAGGATACCCCAGCCCAGGTAACCCAATTTTATTAAGGAAATAATAATGGTTTCGAAAAAGAAATTGTTCTCCAGCGATCTGTGGCCAACTATAAAAATGGATCTTAGAAAACTGAACTTCCGAATAGAATATTGAACCTCCGACAAAATTACAATAGAAGCTTAAGGTTAGGTTGGACAAAGCATAGTTTTCATCATGTTTGTTCATTACTTAAGAACATTCTTAGTTTTCGCGCTGCATTTTAATGACTGACAATATTTACCTGGTGCCCAGAGGAACCTGTGAATTTGTCATAATATATGCACTGCAACACTACCTCGACGTAATGCCATTAAGTCAAATAGTAATAGTGCATTAATGCCTCGTTTACCATTAGGTAGACCCATCCTTCACTACCATTTCCTTCTAAAATAAAAACTATTTTTTTAGCAAAGAAGTACTTTATTTAAATTATAAATTATGATCTTTTTTAGCAAAATCATCGCCACCGAATCTTCTGTTAAACCTTCTAGTCATATACGGATCATATTCCTCTTCAACTTTGTACTTATCAAAAGTCCTTAAAAAACTACTCATAGCTGTTTGAAAAGCCCTTCTGTAGCTGGTGACAGGCATTTTTTCTTTTAACATGACTACTGGTTCGAACGGTATAACTAGACCAGCAGCTGATGCTATCAAAGGCATAAACGGGGCTGGCAGGTAATAGGAAAATAGTTCCATAGCGCCATTGACAACACATGTACCGATATTTCTTAAAACTGCGCTCACTTTTGGGGCATTTACGACTTTTATAATTGGTTCGGATATTAACCTATATATCCTGACGGTAAAACTGATTTCTGGTAAGGTAGGTAGTGTTGAAATTTCGGGTACATTAGCTTGATGTTGTACTGCTTCAGTTTTGGTTTCTTCTGCCGGTTTTTCTATTTCACTGACATCCTCTGTTTGGTTAATATTCTGAGAAATTTGATGGTTCAATGATATGACTGGTTCTTCAGTTATTAAGTCTGTTATTTTAAACTGGTCGTTTATCTCTGGCTGTTGTGGCTGCGGGGAAAATTGTTACGATTAATTACAATTTTGACTCTATAGTGAGATAGAAACAAATGTTAGGGTATATTTTTGTTGAATCTGGTTGATTTGAATGAGATGTCCGATATTAAGTATCTTAAAATCTACTAATTTTATAACAAAACACAAAATTGCAAAACATGTAAAATGTGGCAGTGTGTAAGTAGATACAGATTATAATTTGTAATGATACAACCTACTGCCCGTGCAGGTTGTCCGCAGTGGAGCTTACGCTGTAACTGTAGGACCGATGGTCGAAATCAGCTTAAACCGCTTTTATAAATGCGAAAATTTGTGGGTTTGTGTGTCAGTCCCATCAAAACAGCTGAAGGGACTTGGAACAGTGGTAGATCAAGGTCTGGAGTAATCCAAAGGCTGCTTGTTACCCCCGGGAACGCGCTTAATACAAGCATGGAATCGCTTGTCGAAGCAAATATTATTTTTAAGAAAATGTCCCATAAAATTGCACACGTATTCCCAAAAAAACACGAACATAACGTCCCCGTAGAGCGAAAATTAACTAAGTCCAAAAATTACTAAAATGAGTTATCACTATCATTAAAATTAACTTTTATTTCTCTATAAATCAGTCTAACCGGTATTTATGTAGCTGTCGTCGTTTTTGTTTTACGAAATGTGAAAAATAAATAAGCATATGTTTTGGATTCCACATCATAATTGGAGAAATAACTAACTTAATTAATTAATTATACATTTACGAAAAAATTGCATAAGTTAAAATTAAGTCCACTTAATTATTTTCCTATTCAATTGTGAATGCATACACTTGTCAATAGTTAAATTAAAAATCACTACAATGATTTAGTTAATATTTGATATCAATAGTTTGCTAAAACGCACGAAAACGAAAATTAACTAACTCGACGTAGTGAATATTGACTCTTGGTTTTTAAATTATTTGTACTGTACTGTAAAAATGAAAAATCACTAACCCATTTTAATCTTTTTTTCTCTATTAAAAGGGAAACGTAAGACCTATAGTGAACAAAAATAAAACCTTTAAATTTTAATTTTTGTTCAGAGAGAAAGAAAGATTAAAATGGGTTAGTGAGGTGACGGGCATTAGCAATCCCGCGGGCTACCATCATCCCGAGTGCTCCAGGTAGAAGTCACCGTTCCTTCTTCTCCGGCTTGCCTTAATTGGCTGGCTAGAGTGAACGATGACAAGGAACGGGTCTCCCACCTCTGGCTTGCCTTCATTGGCCGTCCAGAGTGGAGTCGCGAGAGCAGTGATCCTGCTCGGAGACTAAGAAACTATTCGTAAGTCGCAAGTGGGCCAGGGATGCAGGAGGCTTCGGCTGGAGCGGATGATCTGAGTAGAAAGCGGTGGTAGTTTCTTAACCCTTCAGCCACTCACATTCTCGTTGCCCCTCTGTTGCTATATCTAGCAACCATTCCCGGGGCCCGGTCGGTGAGTTGGCGAGTCTCCGCCTGCCATTTTTACGTGTAATAATTACATTGTTTCGGCAGGAGCCATAGTCATCTATAGTTCCCAATTTACCAGTCCACAGCAACCCATCCATAGCCCTACCTTTTTTTCCATTATCCACAATAGTTCTACACTAACCGGGGACTGTCCTTGGGTGCATTTCCATAGTGCATACAGGGATAGTCGCCGGTTTGTGTGTCCATTACATTTAGATTAAAGTTGTCTAAAGGGCCTCTGCTCAGGTGGCTTCGGTCCCTCGTATGCCACCCAAATGACCGGGACGCTGTGTTCCCGTGAATGGTAAAGACATACATATAATAATAATAATAATAAGCGCGCAGGGCACCTTGAGGCGAGGTGACGGGCATTAGCGATCCCGCGGGCTACCATCATGCCGAGTGCTCCAGGGAGAAGTCACCGTTCCTTCTTCTCCGGCTTGCCTTAATTGGCTGGCTAGAGTGAACGATGACAAGGAACAGGTCTCCCACCTCTGGCTTGCCTTCATTGGCCGTCCAGAGTGGAGTCGCGAGAGCAGTGATCCTGCTCGGAGGGTAAGAAACTATTCGTAAGTCGCGAGTGGGCTAGGGAGGCAGTAGGCTTCGGCTGGAGCAGATGATCTGAGTAGAAAGCGGTGGTAGTTTCTTAACCCTTCAGCCACTCACATTCTCGTTGCCCCTCTGTTGCTATATCTATCCTCCATTCCCAGGGCCCGGTCGGTGAGTTGGCAAGTATCCGCCTGCCATTTTTACGTGTATTATTATCACATTGTTTCGGCAGGAGCCATAGTCATCCATAGTTCCCAATTCACCAGTCCACAGCAACCCATCCATAGCCCTATCTTTTTCTTTCCATTATACACAATAGTTCTACACTAACCGGGGACTGCCCTTGGGTGCATTTCCATAGTGCATACAGGGATAGTCGCCGGTTTGTGTGTCCATTACAGTTAGATTAATGTTGTCTAAAGGGCCTCTGCGCAGTTGGCTTCGGTCCCTCGTACGGCACCCAAATGACCGGGACCCTGTGTCCCGTGAATGGTAAAGACATACAATAATAATAATAAAATCTTTATTTACTTAAAACAAGCGAGTTACAAATATTTGATTTTAGGTATAGGCATACAATTACAGCTTACAATTTATAAAATCTCTTCCTCCCAAACTAGGTGATCCTGTATTTTGGGAGTCAGTGTTCCCTCGTTGAGTGTTACAAAAGTATGAATGCTTATATTGCTAATTATTTTCTCAAATACTTATTGTGTTAAGTGACATTAAGGTTTAAAAAGACAAAAAGAAAGTGAGTATGACTAAAAGAGATAATTAAGGATGATTTATGTGGGTGTGTGTGTTAGTGTATGTGAAGGTTAGTGTTTGAAGCCAACATGTGATTTTCGATTTTGCTTGTCTGCGTGTTAAGGAATAGATGTGATTGATTTTGTGTGCTTTATTATAAAGACGTGAGCTCATTACAGTATATTGATAGCTGGCTGAGGCTGTTCTGTGTGGAATTGGTTCACAAATTGGTTTCGTTTTTCTGTTTTACTGGGACCATTTTGGATCATATGGTAGCGAACTATGTTTCCTCATGATGGTGCAGAGAACATAGAGCTGTCTCACTGTGAGTACTCGACATTCTTTATACAGTTCGTTAGTAGGATAACTAAAAGGCTTCGAGGCTATTACTCTGAGAACAGCCCTCTGTGCTCTCTCCAGATCCAAGACTTTGCCCGCACCACCTAAACAATTTGTGCGCAAAAAGGATAAACCCACAAGAGCTCCACTTGTGGTATCAATCTCTACCAAATAACAAAGATATCGTTGACACAACAATGGAGCCAGATATTACAGAGGCGGGAGAAGAAGAAGTATTTATAGGTCCACCTATAAATACTGAATTCTTTTTTTTTATAATATTTTTTACGGAGACGATAATACCATAACCACTATCTCATCATCATCATCATCATCAACAGCCTAAATGCCCACTGCTTAGCAAAGCCTTTTCTCACACGGAGAAGGCTTGACCATTGCTTGTCAGTGCTGTCTAAATGATCTTAAAAAGTACATATAACTCGAAAAAAGTCACATTGGTATTTGCCGTTGGTAGGTTTCGAACCCGTACCCTCATGCATGAGAAGCAGGCGTCTTAAACCTCCAGGCCACCACGACTCATTTAATCAGTAGTCACTTCTACACATCTAGTAACCACTATCTAGTCCATACAAATTGGAATTACATTATAGTATGTTACGAATGCATTGGCTATGCATTTGTGATCATTCCAATCAATATGGTAGGGCCTTAGTCACACTTTACACCAATATCACAGTTAATATTATAAATGTGATACACTTTGTTCAGATTTTTTGATATTTGTCCGTCGATCACGCTGAAACTACTGAACGGATTTTGATGATATTTGATATACAGGCAGGGTAAGCGCTGACTTTTATCCCGATTCAATGCTCCCGTGGGATAAAACAGGAAACATATTCTACGTGAACAAAGTCGTCAACAGCTAGTATTATAATATGTAGTTGCAATTTTTTTCAATATGTGGCACAATATTAATTGTATTAGCATAATATTATTCTAGCCTTATTATTGAATAGCATTACTAATGTCTGTTTATATCAACCTCTCCCAAATTTTAACAAACTTCCCAGAAAACAGGAGACAAGAATATCTCAGGTTTAATAAAAAACAAACAACGAAAGAATAAAATTGTAGGTACTTACGGCAGCAAAAGCAGTATAAACCAGTGATACAATTAAGTTTGTATGAAATAATTTCATTTTATCGACACTTTGTTAGAACTTTACATTTATATAGAAAATGTAAATAAATACACATTTTATTTACACGAGAAATGAATAACTATAAAATAGAACTAAAAAATATGAACATAAAAATTATTTTATGTTGTATTTCCGCCGATATGTGGTGGAATCAAAGTCAAAGCATTTATTTCAATTAAACCATAATTTGGTACTTTTGAAACGTCAACAAATACAAAATAAATATTAGTCTGCCAGTCAGTCCGTCAGTGAAGCTAGGTGCTCATTCCAAAATATAGATTCGAATGGAGAAGAACGAGCAAGAAACTCCATTCGTTACTCTTTTAAAAAAGTATGTTCTATAATGTCTCTGATACATATTCCAATACTGTACGTATAATTATGTGAGAACAATGCAAAAGTGATATCTAAATAATCTTAGAAAGTACATATAACTTGGAAAGGTCATATTGGTACTGTCCCGTTGGTAGTTTTCGAACCCGCATCCTCGTGTATGAGAAGCAGGCGTCTTAAACTTCTGGGCCACTACGACTAATACCGGGAATCCACTTATGTCTATAATAAATAATAATGAAAACTCAGTATAATAATATAAATAACATAACATAACATCATGCCTTTTATCCCTGATGGGGTAGGCGGAGGTGCACATTACGACAATTAATGCCACTGTACAATGTAACACCCACTACTCACTATTTATGTTATGAGTGCCATGTAATAGGGGTGAGCCTATTGCCATATACCGGGCGCAATTGCAGACTCCGTGCTATTACTAAGATTTTTTTTATATTCCCAGTAGTACTTTACCCGACCCGGGAATCGAACCCGAGACCCCTTGCCCGGCAGTCGTACTTACGACCACTCGGCTAATGAGGCAGTCAATATAATCTACCTATAATAATATAACGTCACGCCTTAATTCCCCAACGGGTAAGCAGAAGGGCGCATAAATATTATGTAAAAAGTTACATACAATTTTCACCAGAAGGCATAATAATAAGAATCGAGACTGCGATCGACGCTCTGATTGGCCGGCTCCAATAAACTAACCAATCAGAGCGCCCAACGCGGTCTCGTTTCGATTCCTTCACACGTAAAGCTAGTACAAAAGGCTCTGTTCATGTAAGAGTCCCATGTAACGTATTGATAGAAATTTTCGAAAAAACTAATTAGGTACCTAAAGAATTTTCCATTCTAAAATTCTCAATAAGGACGATGACAGGCTATGAAAATTAAAAATCTATTTAGTCCGTCAGTTAGGTAATGAAATAATATCAGACACATATTTTTTTATTTTGTCGTAGGTACCTTTTTTTATTGGGACAAGCCCGCTATAACCTCCCAAAACCGCTGCAACTTCTGTAAACCATCTACAGTAGATACAACCATGAAAACACCAGAACACTGAAGTCCGGCGCGTCCCAGGGACATGAATAACTGTCTTGGTTCCCGCAACGAAGTGAATCAGAAGATATTATAAGAGGAGAAGAAGAAAAAATTATGGTTTCCACTTCCCTCGGTGAATTACTGCAGGAGACAGAATGAATTAAGCCTAAAGTTACAAAGAAGAGACTGTACAACTGGGTGAAGCCCAGTCGCCAAGCACCACGGAAATTTGACTAAAAACTAACTGTCGTAGGTACCTATAAGAAATCAGTACAAAGATAAAATAAATCGAAGTTTAGGAGTGGGAGCTAGCTACGTCATCTCTAAGTACTTATAAAACGTCCCTAGAAGTGACGTCACGCGATATTTCAAAACAATGTCGTCGAAAGTATTTGTTTCTGTAAACAAAATGTGTTGTGGGGGAAAATCATCGAATGACTGCCCCCGCCTGGGTGAGGCGGGAGGGAGTGTCAGACTCTTACTGACTAAAAACCACCCCGTTCCTTCTCCTGCACGTCGAGCCGGAGCCCCGGTTACCCGTTAGGTTCTCCGCGACTCCGAATCGGCATCGGCCCTATTGGGCCCCATCTGTGGTGGTCTGATGGCTCTTTGAGGCGCGCGCGGAACGCGACGCGCCGTACGCTCGGGTCTGTTTCTGGTCGGACGGGGAGCCACCCATGCTCGCCGTCCGCAGGCCCGCGCTTACGGTGGCCGGAGATCGTCCCGCGATCCCCGACGCCCGGTGTGTCCTTCGCATTACAGTCAGGTCTACTACATACGTACACGCTAAGTAAGTAATTAGTTGGAACTTTAATAAAGGTATTAACCTATCGGATAGGTACTAATCATTTGTCAACGAAATAAATACCTACCTCAATATAAACAGAGCATAATGTAGTCATATTATACAAATAATCAAAATCATTCTAAAAAAATCTCAACGTAATTTCAATCATTCATGTCAACACTAATCGTTGATATTTCTTAAAACAAGAAATATCGAGGAACAAAAAATTAAAAATTCAAATAAAAGAAGCCTATTGGCTAACTGAGGAAAAGCAATAAAAATGTGAAACGTCGCCATAAACTCCTGCGCTGCTATTTTAATTAAAATCGAGTCAATATCGTTGAAGCAAATACGCTGCAACACATTGCAATATGATTATTTTGTATTATTTTTTAGCTTCCTGTGTATTTCTGTTCAGCACTGTGGAGTCTGCGCCTCAGGTGAATATTTTTATAATTTAATCCTTATACTTTTTAACTCATCGAGTACCGGTTTTGTAGACACAATTATAGAACAATAGGTTGCGGTCACCGGTGACCGCTTGGTGTTTGACAGTTTAAAAAAGATATATCATAAAGATCCTGTATTCTGCCGGTAACTAAATGTAAAGTCATATCTCAGCTTATCAACATCGCTATCAAAAAATCAGAAAAAGAAAATTAATCAATCTGCAATAGAAATACAATAAAATGATATGATAGATCAAATCTTACAACTGGTTGGAATATTCTACGTGCACATTAGTTGGTCAGTACCTATTACTACATAACATAACATCACGCATTTTTATCCCCGAAGGGGTCGGCAGAGGTGCACATTACGGCACTTAATGCCACTGTGCAATGTAACACCTTTCACTATTTATGTTATGAGTCCCATGTAATAGGGGTTGATCCTATTGCTAGGTATACCGAACGTACCTATTACAAATGTAGATTTTTTATAAAATGTACTGATTTAGTGGAGTCCTATGTTCAACAGCACATTTTGTAACGTAGTTGGAGTAGTAGTTGTGACGTAGACGCAATTGGAGTGACACCACGGCCTCACAGTAAACTGACGTGAAACAACGCTTGCGATTTATTTCGTTGTGTGAGTGAGGTTACCGGAGGCCCAATATCCACAATCTCCCCAATCCTCCTCTAAAAAGACAGGTAACCCACTTGTAACACTTCTGGTGTTTCGGGTGTCCATAGGCGGCGCCGATAACTTACGATACGCCGATAATTTGTGTACTCTTATTCCTCAGGTTCCTTACGACTACATACCATTAGGACGCGAAAGTCGCCGGGATGCTAACGCTGGACATCCACACGACGTCAATTTGAACTATGAGCGCCTATTTCCAGCCAGGCGCAAATACATCGACTCACCAGCCGTCCATTTTGACCCAGACCTAGACTTTGTTAAGAAGTGAATATTGTTTTATTAATAAATCGATTTTTAGTGATGTGACACACTATGACGATATCGATATCGATACTAATGGTATGTTTAAACGTCTTGTAATTTCGTATAAGAATTAAAAGCGTGATATATTTAAAATTCCTTCTAAATCGATTTTTCTATCAATAAGATTATACTAAATTATACTTTATTAACAATATAATAGCTATGAGACGAGAAAAACAAGCTTCATCAAATAAAACTGTGCGTCAAAAAATATATTATGTTATAAAATATTTATGTTTAAATTTTATAATTCGTCCACTTTGTTATCGTAACACATATCGGACCCTACCGGTGTATGATCAAAGTGCAAATTTGCTTGAAGAGGTTATTTGAATAATATAAATAGCGAAAATTTTCATATCATAATGGAACTTGTAAAGGTTAGAATGTGTACTACCTATTATGTTTGTTTTGGTAACTTTTTAGTTATTTATAATACTGTTCTTATGCAACATTGCCTATCTTTAACCCTTGAGATAAAATGATGCATTTATCGTAGAAAGCATTCCTAGTATAATTCTATCGTTAAAACATCACTAAGTGTGTCTCATCACTAAAATTATAATGTAGTAAAATATTATTTTACGTGTTTTCATCCTAAATGTGTAGCACGAGTAATAACATAGATATTTTTATTTTAACATTGCCCCACACTAATATTTTCTCCTATGTCGTGAGTTCGTTTAATTAAAAACATACAATTTCACATACACATCATACTATTTGTGGTTCGAACAAACAGTTGTTTCGGGAATCGAACCCGCTACACATGCGTCAGCCGGTGGTCCAGCCACCACGCCTACCGTACAGTCTGATCAATTACATAAATTTTGTCCGTTTTTCTTTACAATATTTTGAAAATTACGACACAATTTTATAAAATTGGCAACTGTAGATATTATAGGCAAATAAAAAATTAAAAACGAGCAAACTTATACTTTAATATAAAAATACATACAAATTCAGAAGCGTTACACACTTTTGATCATTAATACACATATTTATAAATAAAATAAATTGCATTATAAAAAACAAAACTCCGATTACAAGCACTAGTGGGTATGCTACAATCAAACAAAAATAATCACAGAATTTCGAACAATAAATACATTTATGATTCATAAAAACGCTAACGAAATAGAAATTCGTATTTTAAAAAACATAAATTAATTATTTTGTGTCATAAATACATATTATTTTTTGTGTCATAAAATAAATTCTGTGATGTGTAAAGCACAAAATATTATAGTTGTGAGTTTTAGGATCATGGTCATGTTTTTTGAGAATTGAGGGTCTGGGTTGGTTAGTGTAGGTGACTGGCAGCTGCAAGAGATGACAGCAGGTCTTGGACATTGATATGAGATGGTAATGGTGACGCCAGTTCAGCGTATCTACTGGTATAGTCTGGCGCTCCATCCCTATCTACGTGGTCGTCAGCCTGAGAAACAAAATTTGTGTTAGTTTCGATTAATATTATGACAATAATCTTAAAGACTATTAATTTGAATACATATTATTAATAAAAATCAGCCCAATGGTTATCTTTTTTTAACTGGCATTTTCTCCTGTGTCGTGGGTGCGTTTACGAACATACAAGTTCACATAAACATGACACTCAGATCCGAAACAACAATTTGTGGATCACATATAGAGTTGCTCCGTGCGGACGAACCCGCTACACGTAGCATGGCAGCCGGTCACCCAGCCACCGCGCCAGTCGTGCAGTCGTAAATGGGTTGCATTCCGTTTTTTCCTAAAAAATCATATTACGAGCGCTCTACGACACATACGTATGATATTAATTTTAAGTCAAGAGCGATAACAGATGACCATCGGGGTAGATAATATGTTCTGAAGTGGACATCACGTCTAGGCATCCTACACTTAAGGCTTACGCGGCTTCCAGCTACATGAATGACTACGATCATACATCTACAACAATCGACGATTTAATGAAAAGATTGACGAATGTGAAAAGACCAACCGGTCACCTGATGGTAAGCAACCGATGCATAATGGACACATGTAACACCCAAGAAGTTACAAGTTCGATGATGGGTGGACGCCACCTTTTGCCGAATCCTATTTTCATCGGATCCGAAAAAACCGAATGTTATATTATCACACAGCACATCTTGCATTGCCGTATCCGACTGCTTCGTATCAAGGTTCAGTGTGAACACACCACCCGACTTTTTTTAGCAAGAGTGCTCACTCACGTCTTTCTCTTAAGTCACTCACGTTGATTTGAACGCGACCCTCCTTCCCCGCTTGTGCTACCCAACGATGTATTAGGTTTCAAGATCCGACGGATAACCGAATCTACCTCTTTTTTTTAAGGGGGAAAAATCATCGAATGACTTCTCCCGCCTGGGTGAGGCGGGAGGGAGTGTCAGACTCATACTGACTAAAAACCACCCCGTTCCTTCTCCTGCACGTCGAGCCGGAGCCCCGGTTACCCGTTAGGTTCTCCGCGACTCCGAATCGGCATCGGCCCTATTGGGCCCCATCTGTGGTGGTCTGATGGCTCTTTGAGGAACGCGCGAACCGAATCTACCTCGCGTGGATCATATGAACACATGTACTGAATGTGCTATGTTACACCACTGCACCGGACCTTATATTTTGCAGCATGGCCAGATCGGTTTGTAGTCGCAAAATCGGATGTTAACTACAGAAAGTGAATGTGTGAACTCATTTAGAAGAAGAAAGAAAGAAAGAAAAATAGTTTATTTGCACACCGTCACAAGGTACAATAACAAAAAATATAAAACAATATAGCAAAGACGGCGCAAAAAGGCCAGAGCTCAGCTTAAATGCCGTGACACGAGTGTGGTCGAGTCGCGGCGCTGATTTTCAGCACTTGCCCGTGACTTATAATATTACTGAAATTCTATTGCCACTAAACCGAATCCTGCAAAAAACCAATTCGGTAAAGGAACACTCGACGCCGAGTGAACGTACCGAGGATTCCTAAAACCACACTGACACAGCGAAACATAATGCAACCGTTGTTTCACGCCGACTTTCTGCAAAGCCGTGGTATTACTCCAGTCGAACCGTTCCGTTCGTATCGAAGCATGACTCACGTACGTAAAACATTGTATTTTATTAAAATAATTATTTTATAAATGTACTCACCATGGCTGACATTAGGCCCAGCATCAGGAACAGTAACGCGAGCCACTTCATCGCGGTGAAGGCTCGTCTTACAGTCACCAATATCATGATACCAAGCTCTTTTATATACCACTGCTACAATTCAATTAAGGTCTTAATATCCAGGGGCGACGAATCAATTTTGATTGACGGTCTTATTTATTGATTTCGTATGGTTAAACGTAATTTACCTACTCAGAGAAAAAACAAGCGACGAATATTGTTTTTTACTGACATATGTAGACACCTTATCATTATATATTAGTCATCAGACATCCACGGCTAAATTTGAGTCTCCACGAAAACCTTCATTTGTTTTAATCAACTTCTCTCAGCTCTCAGCGACGACCTTCTTCAATTTGTGAGATGTGTGAATAAGTTTCTTTCCAGAAAGTACTTTCAAATATTTTTTCTATATTCGTTTTTATGAGATACGTTGGTAACAAATAGACGGGTCACCTGATGGTATCTAGAGGTATATGGATAAATCACCGCGAGTCTCCCTGTGGGAACTACACCCACACGAAGAAACATGACGCAACGGAAACGTTATTTTCTTCTGTAAAGCCGTGGTCCATTCGTGTCGAAGCATGGCCTACGTGATTAAAGTGTGACGTCATGATTTCTTTCATTATAAAAATTAGGCACAATAGAATATTAAAAGTACTAAGTATACCAACGGCTTCGCGGAATTATAGTCACAAAGACATATTAGAAAGCTACAACCGTATCTAATATTGTACGTAAATAAGGTTCGAAATATACTTAAACAATGCCCTTGTATATAAAATAATATAACACGGAGATTGTCACGGATTTACATTTGAATTTAATTAAAAATGTGACTCATATAGAGTACATTAAATATCATAAAATCACGCTTTTATTTCACGATGGTATTCGCAACGGTGTACATTATTTTCGAATAAGTATGATTTTTTAATGTAAGCCGGTAAACGAGCAGATGGATCACTAAGTAAGCAATCAGTTCCGCCCATGGACACTCGGAACTCCTGAGGCGTTACAAGTGCGATGCCGTTTGGGGATTAGCAATTTGAGGATTCGGAAATTGGCGAGGGAGAGGGTAATTGATAGTATGGTCTCACAGAAAACTGGCATGAACAAACGCTTGCGTTTTATTTTGGTCGTGTGAAAATTAAAGAACACATTTGCTTAACATGGATTAGATAAGATTACATTTGCTTAACAAGGATTAGATTAAAGGTAGATTTCATTATACTTTGAAATTGATGATAAATGATGTTTACCTCGTAACGTACATGTTTTAAGATTGTCATGGGATTTTTTAAAAGTAAACAGTTAAATAATTATACCGTGGTAGCTCTGAGGTTTAATACGCCTGCTTCTCATGCATGAGGGTGCAGTTTTGAAACCTACCAACGGCAAGTACCAATGTGACATTTTCCGAGTTGTATGTACTTTCTAAGATAATCTAGACACAACTGACAAACGGTGAAAGAAAACATTATGAGGAAACCTGGGCTTATAATTTCTTATTATAAGTTTGTAATCGCCAACCCGCATTGAGCAAGCGTGGTGATTAATGCTCAAACCTTCTCCGTGCGAGAAAAGGTTATTTGCTCAGCAGGCTGTTGGTGATGATAAGTTAAATACAATGTAGCTGCGAATTGATCGATTCAACTTGATACAAAGCAATACTAGGTAATTCATATACATACAGATTGCACGATGCCATTCGCTGGAACACTGAATATTTCATGAAGTTAGCTTCACGATCGATATTACAGGACGGGGCTATAATGTCGATTCAGTATTGTGTTTAGATTCCATGCAAATTTAGTTATTAGGTCGACTTGTAATAAACTATGTAATAAAATCTAAGATCCTAAATAGGAATGATCACAGGGTATGAAAATTAAAAATCTAATTAGTCCGTCAGTTAGATAATGAAAAAGTATTAGACACGTATTTTTTATTTTATTTTGTCGTATAAGAAAACAATGCTTGGATAAAACGAACCATAAAGTATAGGAGTGGGAGGTAGCTACGTCATTTTAGAGTATAATTCGTACTCAAAAGTGATGTCATGCGATATTTCAAATCAATATATCTTCGAAACTGTTCGTTTCTATAAGAAAATAAAAAATACGTGTCTAATATTTTTAAATAATCTGTCAGACGGACATTAGAGGTAAAATAAAATTTAGTCATCTACCTTATTACACACAGATTTCTATCATCATGAAACTTGGCTATCGTGTGTGGATTAGATGACTATACAATATTATGGTACCACCGAGCTGGTCTGATGATGGAATAGAACGGTGACTGATGGAACCTTGAGCTATCTACTAGTAGACGTAATTACCGAGGTCGGGCTCATTTATCTTACTATACCTCTAGTGGTCTATCCACCAAAAAGTTGCCTGGTAGATGTCGTTTTTAGTAATAAGGCCGCCTTTGTAACCAATTTTTTTGGTAGTTCGATATAAGTACTGTCTCAATTAGTGCACAATAAAGATTATTCAATTCTTTTCCGTTCCGTTCCATTTTATTTCTATTCTATGAACATTTCTTCTGATGTCGAGGACAAAAAATGTCATTAAATAAGACAAAGATTCCTAATTCGATTCTTGTTACATTGTACAGAGGCATTAAGTGCCGTAATGTGCTCCTCTGCCTACTCCTTCGGGGATAAAAGGCGTGATATTGCGTGTGTGTGATACAATAAAACACAAACTGACTAAAGAAAAAAAACATCAATATATTCAACTGACGGTATAAAACTCGATAACATATAAAATTATTTCGACAATCGCTGCGATTGCTAATGCGATGCATGTAGCCATGCGACTGTACACCTTCAAACTATGCGACACAGTCGCAGGCGCATGTGCGTTTTCCACGCCATCTATGTCGCGTCGCTGTCGACCGAGGGGGATCACAGCGCGCCACGGTGCATCCTGAAATAACTGAAGAATATTTTAGAACTTTGCTAGAAGTCATTTGAAATTAAATCTATTCATATCTTAAACTAGCTTTTGCTAGCGGTTTCGCCAACATTGATAATCTAAATGGCTAAGAATCTTATACTTTTATATAAAGCGGAAGTTTGTTTTTTTATTTGTTTGTTTGAACGCGCTAATCTCCGTAACTACAAGTCTGATTTGAATATTTTTTTTTGTGTTGGATAGCGCATTTATCGAGGGTGGCTATAGGCTATAAAATCTCTCGCTACGACCAATAGGAGCTGAGGAGAGCGTGTGAAACCGCGTGGAAGTAACTATTGAGGAATATGAGGAGAACTCTAGTAAATAACTAAGTACACAAAACACCGCTAATTAGTTCGTAGCACACATCGACACTACTATCATTTACACAGTGAACATGTGTGGGTAATTTCATATTAATAGATATGTATAGAAACATTCGTCTATCACACACATCTTGGTATTTAAATATCATTTTTGTGTCGGTATACGTAATAATTTAGTAAATAAGTTTAAATAAAAACGAGGGTAAAGATAAAAATACTCATAACAAACTTTGAATAAATCGAAATCAAATAATGAACGATCGAGCTATACAATACCCATATAAATATAGTGTTTTCTCATCGTATTTTTATGTTACTGAATGATATACAATATTTCGATGATCTCATCTACAGCGCGCTTGGCGCAATGGTTATCGCCTCCAGTTGTCGTCAAGTAATGTGCCGCCGGATCGATTCCGGCATTCACATGTTGTATTAGTATTAATTTATCAAATATTTGAAATTTGAAACAATTAAATCTTTTCTTTTTTTTCTTATCCTATTTTTCTAAATCTTATGTTAATTTTAATAGTAAATACTTTAGATTTATTTATACCTATAATATCTTTTATTTATATTTAGTTCTAGCTATTTATTATTTAGAATAATCTCATTTGCTTCATGCATTTCAACCAACTTAAATAAGATAAAAAACAGTAAAAAAGTAATAACTATGCTTTCTTAATGGTTGGATACCTGAGTATATTTGTAATGTTTGTGGCGACCATGGAATTTTATTTTACCCGCTTATGAAGAAACTACCGACTATATAAAACAAGTTTTTCAAATCACCCGACTTACAAAATAATTGCGTTCTTAGTTGTCAAATGTATGAGGATTTCATAGTTTATTGCTACGCTACTCATATTCGAGTGCAAAGTTATTTTTATTTTTACAAGATGTTCCAACACCTATCAACATTTAAAAAGGCTGAAATCATTGTTTTGCATGAGCAAAACATACCAATAATTGAAATTGCAAGGCGTTTAATGATATCGGTGAGTAAATAATATACTACGTTGATATTCTATCTAGTTGATATTGTGTTTATAATTTATATCTAGTTGATATTGTGTTTATAATTTAAAGTTATTTATAGATATTAATTATATTTATTATTATTTTTAAGTAACTTTAATTCCTGTAAAGTATTTCCTGGTATTTTAAATACTTATTTGTTTGGTATCAACAGAGGAGATCCGTGCAGTTATGGGTGCACAGATATGCGGAGACCGGTGACGTTGAACATCGTCGACGTGGGCCTAAACCAAAGGCAAATTCATCGGCTCGGCACTACGACATCGTAGTCAGGCACAAGGCTGATCCGTTCCTGCCAACACACACTAAAGTGACAGCACTGAATGTTTCAATACAAACTGTACGGAGACACCTGCATTCTGCTGGTTTAAGGTGCAGAAAGCCAGCGAAGAAAATATTGTTATCTGTGGTGCACCAGCAAAAGCGATTAGAATTTGCTAGGGACTTTATTAATTTTGATTGGGCGAACAGTGTGGTTATATTTAGTGACGAAAACACTTTCAAGTCGGATAAGGATGGCGTAAAATATTGTGGAGAAAAGATGGAGAAAGGTATACGAATTGTAACCTTCTGCCTTGTAGGACCAGTGGCCGTATTACTGTCGGGTATTGGGGTTGGATGTCTTTTATGGGTCCCGGTGAGCTCGTGGAAATATCTGGTCTCAGTAACAGTCATGATTACTTGAATATTTTACAAAACGTAATGTAGCCTTTATTCAAATTAACTTATAATAATGTTTATATTTTTTAAGAATATTAAAATGCTGTCTAGAGCATACGGTGAAGTGATGTTATTGTTTTGTGGTTAGAAATTGTCATAATTTCTTTCTATTCAACATGTTGATTCACTTCACTTTAATTTTTCATTAACAAATTTATTTAACTGATTTCGAGCTTGATTGACATATTATATTTACGCACATCTTTAACTAATTTAAAGTTTCCCTGAATCTAAAGGTCATGAATGTTAAAATCGTTCCATAGCATTTGACACATTTTTTTTAGTAACATACAGCCTCTGAATATTGAACCTTATAACAACGGTCGTAAAATAGATAATTAATTGAAGATTCCAATGACAAAAAGTCGCCCATTTCAAGAAATAACATGTTAAAATTTCAGTGTAATTTTTTTTACATGTTTTACTTGTTTATTACTTAATGTTTTATTAAATTACAAAACAAAAATGTTGTATTTGTTTATTACATAATAAAAAATGTTGCTGCCATCGCATTACCGCATGATACTTCCCGATTCGACTACTTATGAGGTTTATTATCATATCTATTAATTATGATTTAAAGAACTTTAAACTTAACATGTGGTATATAATTAATTATTAGATACAAATATTGAATATAAAAGCACATATTTGTATAATAAATAAATTAATTGTAATAAAAATTGGTATTGTTTTATTTACCGACTCATTTGCTTCTTTTATAGCCTGATATAATATTACAAAAAACAAAAAAAAAATAAGAAAAACAACAAGGTAAAATAAAAAAACTTTTAGCTGGAATAGAACCCACATCATCATTGATCCTTGAAAGACGATAAAAGCGTGCTCATTAACCAATCGACCAGGAGTATTACGATAATGACAGTGAAAATGTCGGGTCATATCAATGATTGTAAATAGTTTTAACCTTACCCTTGCATTAAATTATAAAAATACGTATACCGACAAAAGAATGAATATACCAATGTGAATGTGGTGGACGAATATTTTTATACACAGTAATATGAAATTACCCACACATGCACACTGTGTAAATGACAGTTGTGTCGATGTGTGGCGCTGCTACTAATTAGCGGTGTTTTGTGTACATATACCTTTTCAGGAACGTAAGCTGGATTCAATTCTTGGGGCATCAGCGCTGATTGGAGATCCGCATCGCTTATTAATTGATTCTGCAACAATTTCAACGCAATAATTATTTATATACTTACAGACAAAACAATTATTCAACGAACAATAACTACTAACGGATTGCCTGTTCAAAGTGGAACCATAGACGGACTGCGGCTGAAATAATAAATAGGTTTACATCAATTTAAATTTAAAAAAAGAATGTTTGTTGACCTTAGCCGTGTGGTGAAGTAGAATACATTTGTCACCACGATTTTTAGGGGGGTCGAAAGAGCTGATTCATCATCAACGGCCTTTAAGTCCCACGGCTGAGCAAAGCCTCTTTCACACAAAACACAAAGGTTTGAGCATTAATCACCACGCTTGCTCAATGCGGGTTGGCGATTTCAAACTTATAATAAGACATTATAAGCCAAGGTTTCTTCCTTCCTGATAACACGAAAAAAAAGAGCTGATTAAGGGACTGAACTAATTTCAACTGAACCAGGCGAAACCTAACTAAGGGACTATAATTAAGACCAATGCATCAAGCGCCGAGATCGTGGCAAACTGCTTTTCTATAGTGGTAACCCATAGTCAGACTGTGAATTCTGACGGGCTGTGGTTGTAGATGATGAGATGATAATAATGATAATATTGAAGTCGCTGCTGGTGACTTTGGAATTGACTGCTGCACAACAGCGTACCTACTGGTGGGATCCCAGCTTGGAACAACTCTTTTTTGTAAGTTCCGAGAAAAGTGCACAGTTGTGGCCTACCAACCATCTTTGTGTGAGAACGTTTATAAACGCACCCAAGACAGGAGAAAATCTTAGTATGGGGTAAAATAAAGGTAAAAAAAATAGCCGAGCGGCAGGTGAAATCGCGTGGGAATAGTAATAGAATTATTGTCCTTGATTGGCTGCTAATAGTGCTAATGCATTCACTACAGCTACAAAGTATCGATCTAGTCCTTATTTATAAATTATAGACACATTCACGTTTGGTTTTGTGTAGCTATGAAGTCAAAATTTGTGTAGTTTTGTGTAGCTATGAAGTCACAGTGTCCCGGTCTTTTGGGAGCCGTACGAGGGGCATATAATGTGACATATTAGTATTTCTGCGAAATAGACACAAAGACGGGAATTTTCTGTTAAGGAAAACACCACCTGCATTCAGCTGTTCTTAGTGGGACTGTCTGTCTGTTTGTTGTATTTTAACACTTAAATCATAGAAGCAAATTAAATAAATCTTATAGCATAATAAACGAATAAACTGAGGGCGTAGTACGAGTTTGTTTTACGTATAGCGAGATAGAAACGTTAGCGTTCGGCGTCTTGATTGACCGGCTCCCATTAACCAACCAATCAGAAGGCTACCCGTGGTAACGTCACTCACTTGATGTTAAGCAATCGGTGATATAACATGATACCAGAGAAGTTAAGGTTATCGTACACCTAACGAGCATGGCTCTAACATGGCTCCGGCACAGCTTAAGCACAGCTTCAGCACGGCGGCGACTTTTGCTTTGCGCTTACAGCTTTTTTTATATTGACGTTATGAAATATGTCATACAACATATGATTTAAAGTTCATATCGACATGAGATTGACATTGCTGCGTTGGAGCCGTGTCGGAAGCGTGCTTGTTAGCTGTGCCTATAGTTTTTGTTAGTTAGTATTAGCATGTAAGTAATGTTACCGGAGGCCTAATCCAATGAAACACAGCGCAGACGTTGTTTCACGCCCGATTTCTTTGAGAACCGAATCGTGCCAAAGGATGGCCCACGTAAAATAGGTCAAGTAAACTTTAAAAGAAATAGGTACTGAGAATTCATACAAAAAAGTACAGGCAAAGTTATGAGCTTTAACTAGTAAAAAATAAATAAGACATAGGTACTGTTGGTCAGCTGTGAATATTCTCACGATACATTCTTTAGTCTACATGAGAACTCCACACATGTTGTTCTGAACTACTTACTAAGGAGCTTATTTTTTATTCTTTGTAGATACAAAACAACTTGTAGCTATTTGTTTTTTTAAAGTTTTTAAATGAATGAACAGCCTTTTGCTAGGTGGCTTTAGGTGGACCTACAACATCGTGCACCGATGCAAGTGACGAGCTGTACTTTCAAACTCAAACTCAAACTCAAAAGCATTTATTTCAATTAAACCATAATTTGGTACTTTTGAAACGTCAACAAATATGAAATATACAATAGTCTGTCAGTCTGTCCGTCAGTGAAGCTAGGCGCTCGTTCCAAAATGTCGATTCGAGTGGAGAAGAACGAGCAAGAAACTCCATTCGTTACTCTTTTAAAAAAAATCTGTTTTACATTGCTCTGATACATATTCCAATATTGTACTTTGGCGTGGAGGCCTATGTATAGCAATGGCCTTCTTTCGGCTGTTGATGATGCGTAGTTTTCAATGCGCTAATGATGGTTCTGGTGTTGCAGGTGTACTTAGTCTACGTTATACGTTCACCGCTTACCATGTGGCGGTCAGTAACTTAAATTGCTACTTATTGTAGTAGGACATTAAATGACACGATTACCATTCGTAAGTAGCAGTATGAGTTTACTTTGACTATTTTTTATAAGATAAACCGGCAAACGAGCAGACGGATCTCCTGATCACTGTGACGTCATCTTTTTTTTATATTTGATGGACCGACGTTCGTGCCTCGCGTGTTAGTAAGCGGTGATGCGTTCTAGTCATCTGTTGATTTGTGTCGTCGATTATCGTTTTAAAATGCTATAATCTTCGTTCGTTTATCCTGCGGTTCATTTCATCAAAGCTATAAATATCAGTTGTTGCCACCTCTCTAAAGTCCCGGGGTTTCGTTATTATGAGCCGACCGACCTCCTGATTTCCCGGGGGAACTCTAAATTTACCGGGACACGAGCCTAGCACCACTTTATCTATGGTACGCATTAATCATTATTGTCTATGTACATATGTTTTTAAGGAGCAGACGATGGTTATATAAACACCATGTCAGTATTCCATAATATGTTGTTATCGTTTTGTTTTCTAATATAAGATTGCAATGAAATTATCATTTAAATACCTGCAGTCGACTCTCGAATTCAAAATTCGAAGGACTCGTAAAATTTTTCGAACTACGGAATGTTCAAATCAAATGGTTCGAAATTTGAACTTGTCTCAGTATAAAATTTAGATGCTTACCTCTCCAAATTCTGAGATATTTCTGTCCCTTTCTCTCTGCAACGTCAAATTGTTGAGAGTTTGACACCGATTAATTAGTTCGAATCAACGAGTTATTTGGTACGTTACGATTTTTTCGTTCGAATTACCAAGTGTATAAAAATGTAGTGATTTATTTCGAAATATCAAGAGTTTTCTAGGGGACTCGTGATAGTTTTGAATTATAGAGAGGGTCGAATTATCGAAGGCTTGAATTAACAAGAGTCGACTGTATAATTAAATAAAAAAAAAACTTACAACAGCGAAACTGTGTCCTCGGCCATGACAGATGATTACAAAAACTACGAAAATCAAAGATAAAATTTTAGACATCGTAAATTTTTTTCGTAATTCCTTTAAACATTCCCGGTATCGTATGACTTACGAAAAAAGGAAAAGAAAAAATTAAATCAAGGAAATATATAATAATAAAAGATTTATTTCTTATTTATAGTTTATTGTAGCTTTGATAAGGTTATATGTATAGATTTTATGTACGCCTCGCGTTCGTAATAAAAATTCGAAAACGACTACTTTCATTATGTCATTGTGAAAATTTAACGAACAATGAGGAAAAAATGAAGTTCAGTGTTTTATTTTTTATTATTTCCTCCGTTTTTGCGCATGTCGAGGAAGCGGTAAGGCTTTAAGATTCCTATTTTTTTCTAAATAGGTTCTCATGTACACACGATTACCTACACATGAAAACCAGTGTAAACTGACCTGTGAATGTGCGGAAAGGCCATACAAAGCGAGGTCACGAGAAACTGGTTTATTTAGCTTGATGAGTATGCATATAAAAAAAAGAAATAATCTTTTGAGCTGCAATCTTCTAAAATCCTGAAAGCACTACTTATTAAATACACTTTTTTATGGAGGGGGGAAAATCATCCAATGACTTCTCTCGTCCGGGTGAGGCGAGAGGGAGTGGCAGTCTCTTACTGACTAAAAATCACCCCGTTCCTACTTCGAACACACTTCAAGCCGGAGCCCCGGCAACCCGTTAAGTTCTCCGTTGCTCCGTATCATTAGCATCAGCCCTAGTGGACCCCATCTGAAGTGGTTATTAAAAACCCTAAGTGGGTTGGAACACGCTACTGGTCTATCTTTATTTTGCTGTGTAAGAAACAGAAACAACCAAACTATAAAAAAAAACTTAATTTCAGAATCGAATAAAGCGCGGCGCCACTGGTGCGCTACACATAGTGACCAATCATGCACAACCAATACACGCTGACGTCAAATCTGAAGCGCCCACGGAGCATACTGAGAAAACTGGTGAACAGGTAAATAGTACCGTAATTAAAAGTAATAAAGTCTAAAATGTTTTTTTCTACGATTTACTTACAAGAGAAAGAAAGATCCAATGATAAAAATGAATTCATTTATTTTTAATGAACGGATTAAAGTTTATTTGTGTCGATATAAAATGTAAAATAATGGAGTTATAGACTAGGCAGTCTATAACCCCACTATTCTTACCAATACCAATGAGGCCATTGGCCGAATGGTCGCAAGTGCGACTGCCGGGCAAGGGGTCTCGGGTTCGAGTCCCGGGTCGGGTTAAGTATTACTGCGGTTTTTAAAAATCTCAGTGGTAGCACAGAGTTTGGAAATATCCTCAGTATATGGCAATAGGCTCACCTTCAATTACATGGGTCTCATAACATTAATAGGGAAAATTGGGTGTTACATTGTACAGTGGCATTAAGTGCCGTAATGTGCACCTCTGCCTACCCCTTCGGGGATAAAACGCGTGATGTTGTCCATGTAATGTAGTTAATAGTGAGGTTAGTACAATATTATATAATTTCCAGGCGTGCAAAAGTAAAGGTCCAGATCATATTGAACCTGGAGTAGGATTTAAGGTAATACAATAGGAACTTTGTGTTCATGTAAAACATTTTTAAAGGAAAAATTAAATTAGTTTGGGCTGAAATTACCGTTATTATCATCGTAATACATACTAAAATAAATAATTAAAAAACAAATTACTTACCTGAACGCGTCGTGGCGCCGTCACCGTGCAGCCTACTAAATTGATGAATAAGAACCCCGTAGTGACTCGAAACTAGTAGAGCTTTTCTCAAATGTAGAGGAGACACATGAGGGTTCAGGAGTAGACGTCCATTAACTGTTAATGATAACGAATTAAGTAAATATTGATTAACAAAAATATGATACACCTTTTTTCCAGGTAACATCGCCTGAAGACGCAATAACAACGTATGAAATAAAATCTTTGAGAAAATCTCTCATTATCACGCCGCCGACAACCCTAACATTAATACGAAGCGTCAGTAGGGTTGTCACTCTCCTAGTACTGTTTATGTCGGCCATCTTGGAATTCTATCCTACGTTCAGTGGATTGATTTGCACAATTTTTAGCTTTATGAATACGAAATAAAGGTTTAGATTTGATTGTTTGTATTTTTATTTTATTTTGTTTACTAGCTTTTGCGCTGGCTAAAACGAATAAAAAGTAGCTTCTAAACCATAACCTACCCCTGTTCCAAATTTCATCCCAATCCGTACAGCCGTTTATAATATTAGTACTAGTGCATTTACAATATTAGTACTAGCTTCTATCAGTGGTTTTGCCATTTTGCCGTACCCGTGGGATAAAAAGTGGTCAAAGTCAAAGTCAAAATTATTTAATTCTGTCGTCCCCACGGCGGGTGTGGGAAGTCCATGAGGATTTCGATCGCGTTATAAAAAAAAGGATATTTGTAAGTGATAAAGTAACCAAAGGTCCACTCGTTCCGAAGCGTGATACTCCCACGTGCACGTGCAATTTCCTATTTTTATCTGGTCGATAATCTAAAAATCAATCGTAAACTATGATTTTAATCAAAAAAGTCGCGTGTCATATGCAATAATTATAATTTTGCCGCCATGGTGAATCGATTATATTAGTTTTCTTTAAATTAGTGCAAACATTTGATTAAGCCGATCGTCATTTGATTTCATTAGCTGAGATGAAGCGATCATACGACTGTTAGACTGTATTTTAAGGCAATATGGAATTCGTCAAAATTGTGATTTATTGTTTAATTTTAATATCAACTTGTTTCGCCGATGTGAACATTACTGTTACTAATTTGGTAAGTATTTTTTCAGTACATACATACATTGAGATCACAAACAAATCCGCTGTTTTTTTTGAGGAAAACTCTCTATGTTCCATCCACTATCGCTTAAAGACAGACTTCATATCTAATCATAGCATTGAACTCTTGATAAAGACCGGGCAACAGCGCTCTGTAATAAACTTTTTTTAACCATTTACTAGCTTCTGCCCGCGACTTCGTACGCGCAATCCCGTTTTCTCCCGTTCCGGTAGGATTTTCAGGACTATTTTCTGTCATAAGTACTTTTTCTTCCACAAAGCAAACAAACGAACAGCTAAATCGGTCTAGCCGTTCTCAAGTTATGGCGTGACAACGGGAAACGGGTTTCAATTTTATGTATATGTAGATTTTTTAAACTGCAATCTTCAAACGACGAGATTATGGGAAACCCTACCCTTAGAAGTAGCCACGAGCTGTTGAAAATGACGATCCTTATTACCATTAGCATTAGGTACTTTTTTCTTTTTCTTTTCATGTTATATATTTTTTTCATGACTATTTGACACGGCTAACTTCACATAACATCACATAACCATGTAACACCCGGCAAACTTGATACCGCCTAAATTGTTTTTCTCGCCTATACACCTTCCCTGGACTTCCACGAACATTCCAAGACCAAAATTAGCCAAACCAATTTAGTCATTCTCGAGTTTTGGCGAGACTAACGAACGGAAATTAACCCCTTATTACATGGGACTCATAACATAAATAGTGAATAGTGGGTGTTACATTGTATAGTGGCATTTGAGTGACGTAATGTGCACTTCTACCTACCCCTTCGGGACTAAGAGGCGTGATGTTATGTTAAGTATGTAGATTGGCTCACCCCCTCGTACGGTGCGTCGCGTTCCGCGCGCGTCTCAAAGAGCCATTAGACCACCACGAATGGAGCCCAACAGGGCTGATGCCGATTCGGAGTCGCGGAGAATCTAACGGGTTAATAGGGCTCCGGCTCGAAGCGCAGGCGAAGGAACGGGGTGATTGTTAGTCAGTAAGAGTTTGACACTCCCTCCTGCCTCACACCACCTCACCACCACCACCTCCCACCTCAGTCAATCGATAATTCTCCCAACTTAAAAAAAATTACATCTACTAACTAACTGGTCAACTAACTAACTAGTCGACAATGGCTGTTACAATTATTACATAGCTCTGTTTAAATTTACCTTCAAAAAACAAAAGCCGTGAAGGTATAATTATGATTTAAAACAATTCCAATTAAAATGTAACTGATAAATTTAATCACATTATAGTAAGCTTGACATAACTTAATATAAATATTTCAAAAAAACTTTAGACTGTTTTAATTAAAACATATAGGGTACGCTTTGATTTATATTTACATAATTTCTTATTTAAACAAAACGAAATAATGACTTCATCAGTAATTTTAAAGAGAAACTGATATTTGTTTTAATGAGCACCAATTATAATGGACTTACCTATTATTTTGTACAAAAGGTTAAATATAACGAATCCTTTATCATAATAAATATGATATAAAAAAAACTTGAACACATTTTTTCTCTTTATTTCACTAGCCCAGTGATCATGAGTGGACTCCCGATGACTAACCGATGATAATCCGTTAAAGTCTAACTCTTGAGTCAAGTACTCATTTGCCCGCGATTATTGGCAATAAGATCACCTTATAATAAAATAAAATTTCCCACAAAGCTAGTAAAATGAAACTGTTAGGTTGTTACCTCGGTTTTACTATTGTAACGCTTTCAAATGATAAATTATAATAGGCTTGGGTTTAGCATTAATATTTACAACTATACTGAAAACAACAAATCATTAAAAAAAGATTTTTATTACAGACGGATTTGGAACATCAACTAAATGTAAATAAAAGAGAAAAGCAATATCTACTAGAAGATGATCCCTCAGAAGGATCGGAGCAGAAGAGAGATGGTAGACAAAGCACTCCTAGAAACAATCAAATTGATCTTAAAGCAAACCCGAATGCTACAAAAGTTCGCATTTATTCAAAGGTAGTTACAACAACACCAAAACCAACCATGAAACAAGTACTTACGAAACCATTACGAGCAGACACAATCCCACAAAGAATTCCAATAAAAATACCAATTGTCCTCAAAACAGCTAAAGTCGTACCTACTGCAGCAAATGCTTTACGGATGAAGATATTAGAAAGTAAATATAATGAAACGCTTGCTAATCGAGAGAAACTAGCTTCAAATAATAATCAACCTTCAACATTTGTACCTAATGAGAGCCGTCTAAGTGACGATGTAATTTTAACTGTTGAAGATATAACTCGAACTGGTAAAGAATCAAGTGACAATAACGATAGAGATACCGAAGAATTAAAAGGCAAAATGTATGAGGAAGAAATAACACCAGTTAATATTAAAAATCCTATACATTACTTTATAGACGAACCTGAGCCGCTGCCACCAAAAATACATCGCATGCTTGACATTGATAACAAAGACACTGATCCAAATAACATGAAAGAGATACCAGTAGCAAAGAAACAAAAAAGTAAACTTACAAAAGATGAAATCAAATCTAAAATGTATTATAGTGACTTGGATAATGATCCAGAAGTTACGAGGATTTCTAATGGAACACACTTGATTAGTATTCAGAAACTTCCTTATGATGACAGAGTGTTTCGTAATGGGGTACAAGAAATGGCAACCGAGGAAAGAATTATTAATAAACCGCCAAAGCCTAAACCAGTAATAGCAAAGGAGACAGTACCTCAGAAACCTGACAATACTATGCCAGTTGTAGAAGAAAATATCATAGCTGGAGTTTTGTTTGATGGTGCGAGTAAGGAGGCAAAAGGTAAATAAACTATTTTGTTCGTTGACACTTGTCCTAACAAGTGGCAAAAACGTGTAGTGAACAGAGTGCCAAGCACGAATAACTATCGCATTTGTAACGTAATAGTATCGAACGCGTTCGGCGCTTTGATTGGCCGGCTCAAGTGAACCAACCAATCAGAACGCTTAACTCGCTCGGTACTGTTACGATACGAATGCAATAGTTATTCGTGCTAGGCACTCTGTAGGCTATTCCAAGAGTTTGTTGGTTCGATACAATTTAATTGGAACCAAACCTCAAAAGGTTGTAAAATCCTAAAAGGTGGGCAACACACTTAGGTACTGCGGTATCCGAAGGCGGCTCTGATAATGTACCATCAGGTGGTCAGGCCTTAGCTAATGTTGTTTTCACCTGTAAGTTCTTAGTAATCTAGTAGTCGAGGTATCCGAATGAAACTAGTCTTTTGGTGATTTATCATTAATGTCCACATTTCAGGCCATTGTGGGTGTTCGCGGACATTATCAGTCTACTAAGATGGCTATCATTAAATAGACTAGTTTCATTCGGGTAAGTTTTAGTTTAATAAAGTTTTCTGGACCTGTGTCGTCGGACGTGGGTCTCTGGTCTACTTAAATTTTGAACTACGATTTCCAACCCTTTTTCCCAAACGTAGATGACGTGGAAAATGTGTAGAGAAGTTTGGTTCAGGAGTGACACGCGCTGTAGATGACACATCTTTTTTACTTCTTCTTCATCTTTATTAATTTTTTTACTGGCACTATCTTTTATTATCTTTTTTATATTTTGTTAATGCTGCATCGTGCCTGGTGGTGATTTACTGAATAAATGTACTCTCTTTCTTCTGTTTATCTTTCCAAAAAAAATGTATTAAATGTTTAATCCTAACTTCTTGATTACTATAACATCATGGCATTCAGATTCACGTTCCTTTCACTTTAATTTTGACAATAGATGCTTTGCCAGTAAAAGTAAATTTTAAAACGTATGTTTCCAGATCAAAGCTGCATTACAATAAGAAATCATAATTACGAAGAGGTAGAAGAAAAATCTCCTCTATCAACACCGATCTCTGTTCAACCGATTTATAACGATTTCGATCAAGACTACTTGAGATATCTGCAAAATGTCTATTATAACCCTTATAACCAAGCCATTAACGATCAATATCGAAGAAATTATGGGTTAATACAAAGCTCCCCGAATATTGGTTTGATCGACAATAACGACCCTTCCCTAAACAATGCAGAAACAATCCAACCTTACTACCCGAATACTGATTATCAAAACTGTGTTAACAAAAACGAAATTCTACTGCAAATTGACCAAAATTCAGATAATCATCAAGAAAATAATAAACAGAATAGAATCTGGAAGAACTGGAAAGACGTTGAAATTAAAATACGGAAAGCTGAAGACCCAATTGACATTGACATAAGGACTATGATCGAAAATAGTGATGACATTTTGAAGAACGATTTGATCGACAGTGCGTCAACGCCATCTGTTAGACGATACGGGAATTTATATAGCAGGAATGGAATCTTTTATCCATATTTCAGTTCGAGCAATAAGAATACACAATGATCATTTTATATATTTTTTTAAATTAAATAGTGTTTATAAATATATTGTGTTCTACTTTTAGAATATACCATATAACATAACATAACATCACGCCTTTTATTCCCGAAGGGGTAGGCAGAGGTGCACACAGAAGTAACACCCACTTTTCACCATTTATGTTATGAGTCCCATGTAGTAGGGGGTGAGCCTATTGCCATATGCCGTGCTACAACTGAGATTTTTTTTATAACCCCCTAATACTTTGCACTACCTGGGAATCGAACCCGAGACCTCTTGCACGGCAGTCGCACTTGCGACCACTCGGTCAACGAGGTAGTCAATACACAATTAATTTATTATGCCGTTTCAATTTTATTTTATTTATAGTACGGCAATAACTTAAGGTTAATCAATTTGAAATGTAAGCTGCTTAAGCTGTTTGGGAGATTTCATAGCCCGTCAAGAAAAATCAGCAGACAGTAAATGAAGACTGATTTAGGATCACGACAGAGACATAGCCATTTGTAGTCAGACTGACGAAACAACTCAGAGCACACAGCACAGCCTTGAGTTTCATTTTTGATTCACTGTTATTAATTTTGTTTGTAGCTATATAATTGTAACTTAAGATAAGGGTGTTTACTCTTGAAACCAATCCCAATGTCAATGCAATTTCTATCCAATTAAATTTCAATAATGATTCAATGTCAAAACTATACAACCCCTACCGTAGCTGTTGAAATAGCATTCAGAGTACGGAATATAAAGCCAAACTCAATACCGTTTAGTTCATTCAATATCCACGCAATACGGATGGAATGGGCGCTAGTGTTGCAACTCGAGAGTACGAAATTCCACAATACCATTGTCGATCAATCGGAATTGGATTCAAGAGTGAGCCCCTGTGTCTTGTAAATCTATTTCTGCTTACCCCTTTTGAGAAACAGCAAAGCAGCCATGTTTGTACAGCAATAAATAAACTATATATTCATAATACAAAAGCCTTCAGATTCAAACAATTCTACTATAAATCAGTTTCCATAATTAAAAATCGTTCATGACTGCGAAATTATTAAACCAGACCCATTCACGCTATTTTCAGCTTTGTTCCCATTGTATTGTGTGTTATAATCATTTGAATTTATTCATGAAATTAATGAAATTTTATGCAAACATTCAATGGTGAGAAACTGACTTTGATAAGGGTGAAATTGTATTATTGTCTACCCTTTAATAAACGATATATAAAATTAAATGTAAATTATGAATATAGTACATAAAATTAGAAATACTGGAAGATTTATTTATTAAAATATAAAATTATATATTTGCCTCTAGTCTACATTAATTATTAATTTATTAATTATTAAATTAGAGGTATATAAAGCGGAAGAGTTTGTTTGTTTGAACGCGCTAATCTCCGTAACTACAAGTCTGATTTGAATAATTCTTTTTGTGTTGAATAGCGCATTTATCGAGGATGGCTATAGGCTACATAACATCACGCTACGACCAATAGGAGCTGAGCAGAGCGTGTGAAACCGCGCGGAAGTAGCTACTAATTAAATAAACCAGAGTAGAACTGAAATCACCAACATGTGTAACCTCGTCACACATAGAGAAGGAACAAATATATGCCTGTTTTCATTAACCTCTCTTAAATGTTAAGGATGTTAAGCTAAATAGGAGACACTTTAGTTTTAGTTTTAACCAACTGACCGTTCGATCGGAGTAACAGAAAACCGACGTAAAACAATACTTGCGTATTGTTTCGTCGTGTGAGTGAGGTTACCGGAGGCCCAATTACCCCCCTTCTCTAATCTCCCCAATTCCTGAATCCCCAACGATCCTCAAACTCCTAATCCCCAAAAGGCCGGTAACGCAGTTGTAACGCCTCTGATGTTCCAGGTGTCCATGGGCGACGCCGATTGCTTACCATCAGGTCATCCGTCTGCTCGTTTACCGGCTTATGCCATAAAAAACTTAAATACAACCTAAAATTGAGAACCCTTTCAATATTCGGGCGTAAGTCAGTTTTTAGTTAAGTCTTAGTAAGTTTTAAACTTAAGTTAAGTCTTTAGAAGGGTTGCTCACAACGACCTTATGTTTCGTTTGCTTTCGTTTTTCAGTGATACCTAATATTTAAAAGGAACAGGAAACACGTAAATAAAACACACATATTTTAATATAGGCGAATATTAAATATTTTATTTAATATAAACCCTAAATATACCAGCAATTTACAGGAAAATCCAGCGAAATTGTGTCATAATGAAATAATAAAATAATAATAAACAACAAATAAACAAATAAATTAGTTTAAAAATAATATATTTTAACAATAAATGAAACAACAAAGCTATTTGGATGCCACTAAAACTATTTAATCTTAAAAACTACATTAATCTAAATTAAAATATTAATTTTTCAACGAACATTGAAATTTGGAATGTTATTAATTAATTGAAAAAAATAATAATAAAATGCCCATATTTACTTATAGGTACACGAAGTAGTGTGATGAAAATTTTTAATAGAAAAAACGAGATAGATATTTTTTTATTATGTTATAAATAGTTCAATTCACTCCATACAGTATTTTCTACTTTTTTTGTATTCATGAGACACGTCAATCCAATGCTAAGAAACACATACATGTTAAGAAAAACATATTCCATATGTTAAAAGTTCACAATTTAACAATTATTTAATTACGGAATTTATTTTTAACATTTAACTTTGATTATTATTTCTATTAAAATAAATGAGGAGTATCAGTGAAGTCCTTCATACGACATATTATTTTGGAAAATTATTAACAAAATGTTTGACAATTTTAACAATAAATAAGTACCTACGTGACATAAAATTGACAACAATATAGTAGAGAATTGACATACTCTACACGATTACTCACTTTACATTTACTATTCAGTAAACACATCAATAGTTTCTGACCTTGCAAACACGAAAAATAAAAAAAAACTAAAAAAATATTACACTCAAAAAAATTATTTGCACATCACTTTTACAAGAATAGAGATGTGGCATTGTAATAATCGATTAAATATCGACAATTGCTAGAAAACATCGGATGGTATTTAAATCGGATAGGTGGACGATCAAACCACCTATCCGATTCGGATGTATGCTAACAATCGTTTATATTTTAATCAACTCAAGAAGTTAAGAATAGAAATACCTAAAATATAAATTTTAAATGTTCCTGATACAACAAAAAAATAATTATTGAATTCAACTAAAAATGTTTCCTTTAAAAAAACGACAAATATTGGGCAGTAAAATTCTCGTGTTTTCAAAGTCAAAGACTTCCCATCCCTGTTTAGACCCCATGGTCCCTTTATTTGACGTCCTTGCGAACTTTGTGGCCGCGGAAGGAGGCCTGGATCTTGGTCGCCGCCTTGTTCAGGTCGGGATCGGAGAGGTCAATCTTTTCGATGTCCTCCTGGAAAGATGAGAAAATATATGCTTAAAATATCTTCCTTTTTAATAATTAAAATGCCTTGAGGCAAATATCATCTATCAGAATTAAAATAAAAAGAAAAAAGTTACAGTTTAAAAATTCACGCTACGTGACAACACAGTGAACATAATATAAAAGAGAAAACGAAATGAAAGAAATTTTAAAATTAAGATCTATCTAAACCCAACACATTTCTCAAGTAAGTGTCGGAGAGTCATGCTTCGGCACGAATGGGCCGGCTCGACCGGAGTGATACCACAGCCTCACAGAAAACCGACGTCAAACATAGCTTACGTTGTGTTACGTCGTGTGTAGGAGGCTACCTCCCCTATTACAGCCCTCCCCCCAATCTCAGTAATCCCTGAATCCCTAACAATCCTCAAATTCCTAATCCCCGGCGGTAACGCACTTGTAACGCCTCTGATGTGCCAGGTGTCCATGGGCGACGCCGATTGCTTACCATCAGGTGATCCGTCTGCTCGTTTACCGGCTTAATGCACAAAAGAAAAAAAAAAGATAATTTTGAGAAGCTGATCAATGTAAAAATCAACGAAATCTCCTGTTAAGAGCTATTTGGATTGCAAAAATCGAATTACACTCGATTTTACTTACACACAAAAACAGAATCGAGTACATATTTGAGTTGAGTGATGTTGCGAATGTCTATGGGCCGCTTTTGCTTACCATCAGGTGATCTACACGTCTACCGCCTTATCCCATAAAAAAATTGCCTTAGTAACCAATTCCGTCTTCTTACCTTATCCTGCTGCTCCTGATCCTTCACAGCCTGCTCCTTCTCCTTGCGAGCCTGGTGACCTCTGAACGAAGCCTGGATCTTGGTAGCTGCGTTGCATAGCTCTGTTGACAAAGAGAAAGGTAGGTATTAGTACAATATATTCTGTCTAAACAAAACATGTCTGCACGGCTGGCGCGGTGGCTGGGCCAGTGACTGCCGTGCAAAGTGTAGCGGGTTTGATTCCCGGACGGAGCAATTCACAAATTGTTGTTTCGGGGCTGAGTGTCAAGTGTACGTGAAACGCACCCACGACACAGGAGAAAGTCCTAGTGTGGAGCGATGTTATTAAAAACAACTTGATTTTCAACGAACCGAATCACTCCTTCATCTTACTTTGAATATTCCGTTAATGCGTATTCCATTCTTGAATTTTCATTTGATCTAACCTGTTTTAAATAAAGGTCAATATTAGCATAAAAATTATACCACTTTTTAAACTAATTGCAAATTTTTATGGAAACTTAACGTCGACCCATCATACACATATGTGAAAAACTTCTTAATTGCCTCAATTATTCAATAAACTGAAAGACAAAAGTATTATCCTGGCAATAAACTGGTACAAACGCTAGAAAACTAACTAAATGACTAGTTAATTTATCACGTAACCACAGCATCAAACCGTGTCATTTCATCTCCAAATACCTGACGGCTACTGTATTGGATGTTCGGTTGAATGCGGGTGGAATTTCATCAGACCTCGGCGATCTATGCCGACGGCGTCTTGAAAGCGGTTTGCAGACCTGTCATACGATATTGGTAACCATAACATCTATTATATTATGTAGTAGGTTATAATGGAGCATCTCCTTGGTGATTAAAGGGGTCTCCTGTGAGAAGTGGAACGTTAATTCTACATTAAAGACTTTATAATTATATATTTAACATCGTACGACAGCCTTGTTGGCCGAATGGTCGCAAGTGCGACTGCCGGGTAAGGTTTCGGTACGATATTTGGGTTGGGCAAAGTATTACCGGGTCTTTAAAAATTCTCAGTAGTAGCACGGAGCCTGGAATTGTGCCCGATATATGCCAATAGGCTCACCCCCCTATTACATGGGACGCATAACATAAATAGTGAAAAGTGGGTGTTACATTGTACATAAGCATTAAGTGCTGTAATGTACACCTCTGCCTACCCCTTCGTGGCTAAAAAGCGTAAAGTTATGTTATGTTATTTAACATCGTAATATTTTATGATTATCGTGTCAACCGCATCATATCTATAAGACGCATGCAAGAAATCATAAAACCAAAATATGTATGTACATAAATTATAACGGACAAATAATTCAGAATTTATTATTCATTTCAATAAAAATAAAGTCCGCAAATAACTTTTAATATCATATCATGTTCCAAATAAAAGGAGTTTTTCCGAATCATTTTTCAATATTAAAAGCATCCTTTCACCATTTGTCATACAGAAAAATATATTGCACTTTTGAAAGTACCTACACACGACTACACGTTGAGCTACGACTACGAGTAACCAGTATAAAATGACCATCGAATTTGCAGAAAGATCGTATAAAGTGAGACCATGATAAATTGGTTTTGTATGGCTCAATGGGTACATGAGTGATACACAGAGCCGTATTATCCCTAATGCCTTGTTGGCACGACGCTAGTAACTTAATCAAGTTGCGAATATTTAGTAATTATTCTCTCTCTTTTCTATTTTCAGACAGAAGCGAGAGAGGACTACTGAACGTTTGCTACTCGACTAAAATACTAGCGTAGTGTGAACAATACATAAGGCAAACTAGGCAAGTGTCTAGGGCGCCAGGTTAAAGAGGGGCGCCGCGAGAGTTACCGGAGGCCCAATTACCCCATCTCCCTTCTTTCCCAGGTTCTCTAAACCCCGAATCCCCCACAATCCTTAAATTCCTAATTTCCAAAAGACCGGAACACACTAGTAACGCCTCTGGTGTTTCAGGTTATCATGGGCGGCGCCGATTTTTTTACCGTCAGTTTGCTCGTTTACCGACTTAATCTGTATAAAAAAAAACTAGGGACGTCTATGAGGAGCTCGCCTAGGGCGCTCTCTAGGTTTGATCCGCCTCTGGTGATACATATTGGTGTTCTCAGCTCACGTTTTCAGCTGTGGCAACACTGGCAATTGGACGTGATGACGTGGCAATTATTTCGTACGTGTCAAAACTTCATGCGTCACTGTTGTGTCCTTCGGCGCTTCGGTAATCGATCGATTGTGCGTTTTGGAGGTTTAAATATATTTAACATTATGGTGCATGGCCCAAATACGCTTTTTATTTCAAAGGCGTCTATTACATGCATTGAATGTTTTTTTTTAAACGTTGCCCCACATTAGGATTGTCTCCTATGTCGTCGGTGCGTTTACAAACATACAAGTTAACATACACAGTGACACCCAGACCCGAAACAACCATTTGTGGATCACACAAAGTGTTATTTCGTGCGGGAATCGAACCCGCGACACGTTGCACGGCAGCCGGTTGCCACCGGTAGCCAACGCACCAACCGTGCAGTCATTGTATTGCTTTACGCCAATTTTCTGTGGTATCAGGTTGGGATACATTCATTCATATAAGATTAATAGTATCTGTATCGATCGTGGTCCGCCATTTCAATGGTTGTGACAAGAATCTCGACAATAATGGCGAACGAGAAAGCGACCTTAGTTACTTCGAAAATTCAAATTGACGATTATAGAATAACTTAGCTGGTTTTTTTAATCAGTAACAGGTACGAGGAATTAAATACTGGCAGTTTGATACAATTCCACGTTAAAAATAACGAACAGTTCTGTTGACATTATGGTAGACAGACTACACAGGCGTGTGACCTGGATTCACTTGTACGATCATTTTTAAATAGTTAGTGTTGCATATTTTATGCCTATTGTTTATGCCTAATAATGTAATGCAAAAAACTCCCGTTAAACTGAAACCTCGTGTAATAAATTACCCTTGTTTCAGGCATTTATTACCCTAATAAATAATTATGTAGGGAAAAGGCCCATAAAGTCGATAAGCTACAGCCTAATAGTAGGCCTCTCTAAATTGGATCGGCATTGATTCAAAGTAATAAAATGCAATCATAAATAAATTCTAACTAAGTATTATTTCAAATAGGACTTCCTATTTTTAATC